AATGAGGACAAGTATATAAAAATGACTTGAGCCAGTTGTTTAGCTTCGAGATCAACAGCGAACAGCTCCGCTGGAGTTGATCTCCCCGGGTACTACGTGTGTCTCACCGCAGAAGGTTCTTTTGGGAACCAGGGAACAAGTCCTATTTGTAGACTCTCCTACGCAAAGGATACGAGATCATACCCTTAGACAGAGCATGTCAATCCAGACTACTCGGCCATAGAGTACCTTTGCAAGAGCCACACGAGTTCGCGGCCAACGACCACATCCCACCTCCGATGCAGTCAGTTACTGAGAATCTAACCTGAACCCAGTATGACCGGATTACGGTGTGAAGTGAGGACTAGCTGAACGCTGTTCAATCTTAGAAAACTGCAGCATTATCACAAGCGGCTGGCGCAAGCTACTGAATTTACCGTCCTGCATTAATGGATCTACACTTTATAGTTACAAGGGGGGACGCCACATCGTCTGCTGTGACACGCAGAATAGTCATACCATGATTATTGAGGATAATGCGTCGTATGTCGACGTCTGTCGACTCATAGCTGGGGAGAATCTCACCCCGACAGTCTACCTATGATATAGCTATGGCGAGGCAAGTGCTGACAAACGGGAAGCTAAGAGCTTCTCAACTCCCCTGAGGCCGCTCGTTGGGGAGGTGCTTTTGATTTTTGACGGCGACGGTGGGCATTCCAGAGCAGTACGCGTACAGAGGATCAGTTATCGGTCCGTCCCGTGGCATTGAGATGGACAAGACCACCATCAGGTCAAGGCCCCTTGCTACGGAAACGGAAGGGTGGACCTCCATGATACAGGGGATCGATCAATTCTGGTCACCTGTTATCCCAAGGAAGATTGCCTCCTCTTGCCGTGAGTGCAGCGCTAGATTTACGGGATCACTGGAAAGGCTGGCTGTGCTTTACGATTTGAAGAACAGATCATCAGGTCGATCCGCAATGTACTACTGACGAGCCCGTCGAGCTGGGTAATGAGGAAATTGTGGAGGTTGGACTGTCGCCTTCGAGAGCTGTTGTCTTGTACAGTTGTACTATCCATGGCGAATCGGCTTCGTGGCAGAGGCATGACTGCGGAAAGTTATTTCGAGGCAATCCCATGCATGACGCATCGGCAGCCATAGCTCCAACCTTAAGGAAGAGCTCTTCGAGTCATGAGTCTCCAAATGTCGATATGTAAGCTTTCGACCAACTATTGTTTGAGATTGTCCTTTCCAACCAGTAATGGTCTGTAAGGATTTGAGATCGAGATCGATATATGGAGTCATGACCAAGAGATCATCACCTCTGCTATTATAGTAGTATGGATCTTGATCCAAAGGCACCTAGCTGGCACGTCAAATGATGTCTTGATGGCTCCGCGGGAGGCAGATGAACCTGTCGGTCTGAGAATCTTTGGATTTTCTCGTCCGATAACTGTATAGCGCAGTCTACAGTTGAGGGTCATTGAACATCCGTAGCCCCAAGCTGCTGATGAGTCCCAGAGGGAATTTGATTTCTTACAAACACTGTGAGTCATCGCCCAAAAAGTTTATCACTCAAGTGAGTAGCCGATGTCCGGTGAACTGTTCGAGTTACCCAGGCTCCAATTACATACACAAAATGAAGCACTATTGGCTTTGTACTCCGTAGCAGGTGGAGTGAATGGGCGCACGGAGAAAAATAAGTCGTATTGAGGGATGTGTGGCATCTGTTGTATGCGCATACCGAGAAGCCGGTCCCGAGGTATTCAGAAGACTATTCTCAACCTCAATGGCGAGCGTCATCAGAGTGGCACATTATCGATGGTTGCCGGATAGCGGATGTACGCCGTGAGCAGTCCGTATGCTGGCCATGATTAGCATTGAATTGTCGGTGAGGGACAGATAGATAGTTGATCATCACTTCCATGCAGATGGAGCATAGTATCTGCCCCATACCCGGGTGGTATCGCTAAAAATATGCGGGCTTCAACAATGACAAATCGGTGCCATGTGAAGATGGCATCATTTATCATCCAATCGACACGCAGACCAAATCAGAGCTTGGCTGCTGCAAGTGCTCAGACATTCATGCAGTCAATTAAAGACCTCTTGCAGGGGCGTCATAAGCGAAGATCTCGCGAGAAGGACCATTTCGCCCGCATAATATCCAACGAAACCATATCAGGCTGACTTGGGTATTAGTTAGCGGAAGGAATCTCGCCGTTTGCAGGGTGGCTGCCCTGTGCTTCAAGCTCATAAGGCCTGAACTTACAGATAGTCTTCCAGTCGCCGAGTGAAGTCCAGAGTCCAGACAGAGGACTCCGTCTCTGTTCGCAAGCCACAAAATGCAGGTGTTCCAAAAATTGAAACAGCAAATATTGCATGAATAATCTCAATACAGGAAGGGTTTCCGCCAGAAGGCACAAGTAAACTGGTGTTACATGGCAGAAAGTTGATGAATGGAGGCATTGTTTCAACTGTGGAGATAATTAGTTAGTGGATGAGCGCGAAGAATATGTTAAGAAAGAGGAAAGAATCCGCTTTTCCCCGCAAAGAAGCAAGGGAGCCATGGCGGTTTTTCTCTCTTTTCTTTTTTCTGTTGATACGTAGATAGATACCTCCTCTTTTTAGCAGTTCAATTATCCAGTCGGCCTTGCCAGTGGCGCGAGCTGCATAACAGGCCATCAGTGACGATGTGACCTGTCACTTCGCCTCGCATACGAAGAGGCCTGTCCGCACTCCACAGTTTGCATTCTCGGAACTGTGCTTGCTATTGTTTGTTTCTGCCTTTCAAGGCAATTGTCCATGCAGACAGTTTTGAATTCTCGTGGACCAAGTCCTCCAATTTGATCGAGTCGTGGAGCACATCGAGTCATGTCCAATAGTGGATGAGGGATATAATATCCGTCGTAAAAACGCAATCCTGTTAAAGCCCTTCCTTATCAAGGGGTAAGGTAATGCTTTTGCCTACCATAGAACGGGATACTCCGTACGGATTTGCGAATATCAAATTAAAGTGCAGCTTTGGGGGGGACCAATGCGCGCGTGATTGGCTCAGGGCTTTGATATCGTTCTCTTGAATGACAGTCGATAGATAGATACTACTTGCAAGAACCAGGCACAACTCTCTTTCAGCAGCGAAAGTCTAATCCCGAGACAGCTGCTCATGGCTCAGTAAGGGCCGGAGGATCGGCGGTCTGTCAAACTACTGTATCATCCTCAGTACAATTCAGCATGTATTGACTCTAGTGAGTAGATGGTCGAACGGAACTTACTGCTTCGAGAAGCGTAAAGCGATGCTGATTCGGTCAAAGGGATTGACCCCACTGGTGGAATAGCAGCCCGTTTATACGTTCATACGTCCTGCTCTTAGCTGCTGTTCCGGAAGCTAGATAGACCTAAAGGGAATCCAGCAGTCAGTCTACCTAGCTCACCAAGATCTCGAAGATTTGTGTGGATACCTTGTGGAAGGAGCTAAAGCCATTGAGGAAAAGTGCGCTGATGCACTCTGCGTCGGACTGTCCGTGCTTCAAGCCCAACCTTTCTCGAACCTGAGAGTTGAGTCTTTTCTGAATGATGCTATCAGAGGTCCCCGCACGGTACCGAAGTGATAGCTCTTCAGCCAGCTATCCGTCATTTGGCCTCTGAAATCTGCATTTTGGCGCATCTCCACAGCTAGATTGAAAAAAAGGAAAGTTCAGAGTTGCTACCGCTCAAAGAGCTGGAAGGTATTGAGCAAAGCCAGCGGATAACTGTCGGATGCGGGAGCATTGACCGATGGCTGAAGCCTACGTTAAACAACAACTTTCATGTAACTGCACTGATGCACATGCTTTGGACAGCGAATGAAGAAAAAACTGATGCGTTGACTCTGCCCCTTTGATTCAGTGGAACCCATCTGTAATCGATGGCGCCGGACGACTGTCTCCACAGGCTAGATGGCACAGACACGCCAGACTACGTCGGCGGACGTCGAGTGCCACCAAAGTCCAAGCAACAAAATGCTCATTCTGTCATTGGGATGGGCCTTTTTTTACCGGGAGCGAACTGAGTAGAATTGTTGGTGCATTGAAAGCGAGCATATCGCCGTGGTGGTCCTAAAGACCTGGTGCGCATCGGGATATGCCCCTCAGTGACCCAGGTCTTCTGATTAGGATACTCTGATTCTCAAGCTGTTACACCTGTGATCTCAGAGGCGTTATGGGTGTCAGCGCCATGTCAGAAGAACGACAACGATTCGATCAGACGGATAACGGGTCCGACGCTCGGTCATGGTTCAGATCGAAGCGACAAAAAGGGAATCGCTACTCCCTGCCACCAGGTTGTGCCCTGACTCTTCAGGCCCCAGGCTAACTCTAAGCTAGCTTCCCCGGCCTGACTCTGCGTATTAGACCTAGCCTAGATCATTAATTGTTATTGCTTTTGTTGATACATTGACGCGCTCGGTAGCACCACTGACGGAGCTTCAATCTAGCTGGAGAGGCGCTGCATGTTCACAGACAAGACTTAGATGATCTTCATGCTCAGGGTGGGATAAACAGCAGGCATCCGTTCGTCCTCATTCCTTGATTGGCATCTTCAGAGGCGTTATTCCGTACCAGAAGGTATGTATCAATGCCCCATCTGCCTAAAAACAATGGCGGCTATGCATCAATGGGACCTTTTCGTACAGCGCCTAGTGTCATTTCTGCGAGTACCTGTCTGTATTACATTAGGCTCCGTGTTGAATCCGCCACCCAAGCCGTCAGTGATGTTAGTGAAATTCTAGAAGCTCACATGGAATGATTTGTTGATCAATTCTCCAATAGCGTACTTTTTTCACAACTGCAATTGGCCGTTCGGTTATATAAAGTAGCCCAATGTCCGGCCGATTCTTTGGAGTTGTCACAATTGAATCTCAGAACACATACATCCTTCGTGAAGAACTTACCCTCTGGCCTTGACGGCACATTCTCGAGCAAGTACTTTGACATTGGCGCTTTAACACATCTTCTTACGAACCCCAAGTTTATTTTGCGCAATGGATCCAACAGGTCAGCCAGGGGCCCAGGAGCATCATCAGATGTTGCCATATGATGGCATGACGGGCCAGCAAGGGCCAGAGGTATGCATGAGGTTTTGTCGTAACAATAGGAGAAACCTCTAACGTGATATTGCAAAGGATCGCCACTGCACAATGCCACGGGCATCCAACTGTCCTTTCCCCCATTTTGCGATGATATATATAGACAACAATGGTGAACTCGGCGTGGATGTCTCCTCTTCCCTTGCAGGCTGTGAAAGGGCCATTTTCACCGAAGATCTCAAGCAGAGCTTTGTCAGAGCTGTGACCACCGATTGGCAGCCAAACATGCAGAATTTCCCCTCCGGTGAGAACGCATTGTCTGAAAACCTCGAAAGCGTAAATGTTGACTGGCCTTGCCTATCACCCAGCAGGGGCGATCGGAGCAGCACATGGCGGACTACCAGAAAGGCAGCCCTTCATGTTTAATGCCGGACTGGATCTGCAGTCTAGCCCAGCGTGGTTCCAGCATGGCCTACCAAGGCATCCCAGGCTCATCCCTTGTGAATTCCAGACATTGCAGAATAAGCGCCAACGGAGGAATAGAAAGCGCACAAGTTCGGAAATGGGCTGTGATTCAAATTCAGATTCGACTGACGGGGCAGCCAAACGGACAGCGATTCGCATAGGACAAACCGATGTGCTGCGCCAGTTCTACGAAAAAGCATTCGAAAATCTTCAACAGCTCAACTGCAGGGTGATTGCAAAGGCGTTTGTCAAGTTGGTGGAACCTCGTAAGCAGGTCAATCACCCGTACAATGGGTGCAGGACAGTGATGGGGGGACCTTGCCAGAAGTTGGACCCTGAATTGACCAAGCCCAAATGGTGGCCTACAGGTGTTCAACATAAGGAGCCAGATCACCTGCTCAAGCATGGTGTGTCGCGTTCTTCTCTCGCGTGCTATTTCGCAAATTCGGTTGAGTCATGTGTCGCTAATTCTTCGTCTCTTCTAGAGAGAATTCGACTTCTCATGCACATTCTCTGCGAACTGAGAGAAAGCCATGCAATCACAGCGCAAAAGCTCAGAGAGGCTGGGCAAGATGTGCACCGCCAAATTGGACCGCCAGTGCGTCGGTTCATCTTGGACGAGATTTATGAGGTCCGGGAAATCGAGGAACTCTATTTGAGCGGAAAAATCAGTATGTTTGGACTCTTAATGAATCACTCAGTGGCTTCAGGCTGATTGTTGATGACCCAACAGGCGGAGATACTGTTATTTATGTCTCTTCAAAGCATCTGCCAGAAGGAATTGAGCCAGCGGTAGTGAACGTGAACGAGAAGCAAAACTCTGACGCGGATTGCTTGCCTTTGTCTCCAGTGTCCATCAGCCGCACAAGCTCAGTTGAGAGCGGATTATCATCTCTCTCAAAGGGTATGATTCTATCCATCAATTCCAGTGAGCAAACGCAACCGCTGCATACCCCTGCAGAGGTTTCTTCAACTGGCTCCAATTCTGTGTCAGGGTTCTATGCCCAGCATTCGATGTTGTGGAATCATGGAACTCCTCGGATGCATGCGCCATTCAATATGTCGTCAAACTGACTGGAGCCTATTATAGGAAGGTCCGTTCCCGTGAAATCTCGGCTGTAGCCTGAATCTGAGCCCGTCTCTGACCTTCGCAACAGCCTGTCCCTGCGACTCGCTTTATCGCTGGCCGTCCTCTTGATATTCGCTTTTGGCCATCTATCATTCGTCTTCATGTGGGGACGTAATGCAAAACACGACGCTTTGGAATCCCATTTTCAGCAAACGTAGATAATGTGGAGTTTTCATCTTGTGTCCTGTCAGGAAGTGTGTGGGCGTACCTTTTATTTGGGTTATTTCCTTTGTTGATTTTCCACTGTGCATATCAACTAGCTCAGCGTTCTCAGCAAATTAGTCGTTCTTGGGCGAGACTGTGTTCTGGTGAATTAATGTATACTGTCCGCTTCACAAAACCAACTCATTGTCAGGAAAGAACTTACACTGAGTATTCTTGCCAGACCAGCTGCAAGTGCCCTGCGTCAGTGTACACTGAATCCCTCAAATGCCAAACCGCGAGGTTTAGCATTCACCGTTCGTTGGATGACACATTTTTCTCCGAAGCAGAACCAGCAAATCTATCAAGTTCGGCGAGAAGCATGGTCTCAGATTCTCAGACCTCCTCTCGCAGTATAGACTCGGGTCGAAAAGTCTGGATTCAGGATGGTCCATATCATACGAAACATTATTCTCAGGCCCTTTCCTCTTTCAAGGATTCGATGAAGACAGAGTCAAGTCACGCGATCATGTCAACACAATTTCGTCTCCTCGACCTCCCCTTTGAAATCCGCAGCGAAATTTTCTGCATAGCTATTTCCAGCACCGATAATTTCTGGCTAGACCGTGAAGTCATCACTTTTGGAGAATCGTTGAAGTCGATACACTATATCCGGGGCCGCATCGTTTGGCGAGACTCGAATGGCGTGTACAGAAACCTTTTAACCACTAGCAAGCAGATCTATGACGAGGTGCAGCAGATCCTTTTCACCCGTTTTGCATTCGACGCTCTTGGATGGGGCTACACGATGAGATACTCTGATCCTTCAAAAACTCCCAATCATCTCCCCAAGCACCGCATCATGCACATCGCCTATACTCCATACTTCACCGAATACATGCGCGAGCATCGCCAGAGCGTCGATCTCATTCACTCGGGCCTTCCTTTGCTTAGCTCAGTTCGTGTCCTGGTCTCTTGGGCCTGTGCACAACGTTTAGTCATGTGTGGGGACACTCGAGCTGGCTCTCTATACATAGTGGTGGTGGCACGCCTGTTTCGGCAGGTTGGAAAGGTTGCGGTTGTCGGCCAGTCCTTGATGAGTGAGCTGCAGAAGCAGTTGGTGATAGAGGCAAGGAAAGAGCTGGAGCATGAACGGTGGTATTGGGAGCTGGACCTGGATTATCCTCTTTACATGCCTTTTCTCACCACTGGTGTTGAAGAGCATCTCTGAGCCGACGTTTGGTAGCACAAGGGGAGAGTGATTTTCATATTGGACTTGAACATTTCTGGGTGTGCTGATACCGCTTCATTACAATTCAGCAGATGTATTTTGACCTTGACTGTGAATTCCATGATGCTTCTGCGTCATATAGTTACGAGGGGCTGTCTTGGGGGGTACACTAGATGTACAAAGGCAAGAAACAGCATAGACCCTGCACATTGGAAAGTTGTAGATCCTTGCGGTGTAGTGGCCACCGTCGTATCTCCTGCTGAACACGGCTCAACAGCTTCTTAGACTTTTTTCTTCAATGAAGATCCGTCCAGCGTCTTGTAGCCTATGGATACACAAGGCTATGGACCACCTACCTTACTGTTCAGCAAATAATCTCCAAGAAACTCCGCTGAGGGTCAGTGTGACTGGCTTGCAAATGAATATTGGTACTTCGAGACACACTATCCACAGCGCGCATCTTTTCCTCAAGCGAGACCGTTGATTCTCTTCATGTGGTTGTGGTTCTCCAATGATAGGTAATATTACAGTCTTATTCCTCCTATCAAATGGAAATAATCCGCATGTTGGACAATGGACACAGAGTACGGGAGTTGGACAGTCACACCTCAGGCAGAAAATCATCGGAAGTGGCAAGTGGAATCCTGAGACTGAAGCTTATTGGCTGGCTGAGCAGATCATGCCCCAGATCCCAGGGTCCATCATAATCCGGACCTTGGGAGGAGCAGATCAGCCGCAGCCAACCAGAGACGTCACTTCAAGCACACGTCGAGCTTCATCTTCCCAACAGGCCTTTTCTCACCACCACGGACCTTGACTCTCTCACTTTCCTTCTCCGCACGTTGTTGCTTTCGGAGTACAGTTGACTCTTGCATTGTATCACGCGCCTTGGGTATTGAAGGAGACTGGCGCATTTGACCATTGGATAACAGTCCCAATCTTCATTGGACGAAGATTCATTGTTTTGCCTTGTGAGTCCTCAGTTATATCAGCCCCTCCTATCGATAAGACTCCCAGATTCTTGTTGCTTCCTGCATCCCAAAGTCATTTGGTTTCATCAAGCCTACGTATTCAAGCGTCTCTCATACCTTGTTGGGGGACGGCGTCAGGGGTCGAAGCAACATGGTAATGCTAACTTTCGGGCGCTTTCTTAGTCGTCCTTACCCTCACAGCCGGGAAGGCCCTACAATTTTCTCGTTCCAGCAAAAACTCATCATGGAGGGCGTCGGACTCGATGGTCACCAGGACGCAAAGACGAACCGGATGACGGGCGTGGGTGACTCACCTGTGTTGCAACCCGCTGCAGTTGAAGATATGGATGCCTTCTATGACACGGATGAATATGCGAACACCTCCAATCGCTCATATTCGCCGGCAGCCTCTCCTCCCAGACTGTCGCGAAATCCTTCCTTTTCATATCAGGATGATTGGGAGACTTTTCCGCCTCTAGATAAACTCACCGTGTTTGACCTGCTTGACAACCTTTCACTCTCTCAGAAACTCGAGAAATGGCAACAGGCGATCAATGCGCAGAGAGAGAAGGTCAGAAAGCAGCGCGAGAAGCTGAAATCTACTTCAATGCACGCAAAGGATCGAGTGGTCGGAGAATGGAAGCGGCGTGTACCTACAGCCGATGAGCAGTTGGACAAATATCGCCGCCGGATGAGGGACGGTGTCAAGCGGCTGGAGAAGCAATGGAATGCCACGGCCACGGTGACGCTGCGCGAGAAGATCTCGTTCATCGCGGGTGTTCTCAATATCTTCGTCAGCGGCTACCTCATCGGAGCCTACCCCGAATACTTCTATATCTGGTTCAGCGCACAGCTGGCCTATTTCATGCCGATCAGATACTACGGATATCACAAAAAGGGTTATCATTATTTCCTTGCCGATCTTTGCTACTTTGTCAACATGCTTTGCATGCTCAGTATTTGGGTCTTCCCAAATTCCAAGAGACTTTTTATCAGCACCTTCTGCCTCACATTTGGAAACAATGCCGTTGCTATTGCAATGTGGCGAAACTCTATGGTCTTTCACAGCATGGATAAGGTTGTTAGGTAGGTCCTGTCTTGAACTTCTCCGGCAGAGAAGCATCCACTGACGTGTCTCATGTGCAGTCTCTTCATTCACATCATGCCACCAGTCACCTTACACTGTCTTGTCCATCTCACTCCGGCGAAAATGTTGCGAGGGAGATTTCCGGCTGTCTACGACATCAAGTTTAGCAAACCTGGCTCGCCGAACCACTATTCTCTCCTTTCCATGATGCTGTGGGCAACTGTGCCTTACATGATTTGGCAGTTGACCTATCATTTTTTTATCACTGTGCGCCGTGCCGAGAAGATCGCCGCTGGACGCCCTACCAGCTTCACATGGCTGCGCAGATCCTACGCGAAGACCTGGATTGGAAAGTTTGTGTTGAGTCTTCCCGAGTCATTGCAAGCACCCGCCTTTATGATGATTCAGTACATTTATGCGCTTCTGACCATGATTCCTTGTCCCCTCTGGTTCCGTTTCCGATGGGCCAGCGGCGTCTTTTTGACAGCCCTCTTCATTTGGAGTATCCATAATGGCGCCACTTACTACATTGACATCTTTGGCAAACGTTTCCAGAAGGAGCTGGAGGAGTTGAAGAAGGACGTGGCCCGGTGGCAGGCCTCTCCGGCTGGTTCAACCAGCCCGACGCTACCGATCTTGAACAACGCTTCTTCCGCAGGGACTCAAATCCTGGATGACTCACTGTCTGCGCGTAAGGAATGCGACAAGTCAAGTCTCGACCAGATCCCTCCTCTTGACGCTATTTCGGCGTCGACTGGCTTAGACGCCTCCAATTTCGCGGGCGATGCGATTGTGCGAGAGAGGAAGTAGAATCCATATCATCTACCCAATTTTGCAAACACTCCTTTTGACTCCTTGAGTCAGTCTACTGAGTTTGTCTGTGGCTTAGCAATGCTTTTGAATTGGGCATCGGTTGGTTTTGTGTTGTTCTTGATGATACCCTGACTTAGTCATTCTTTTGTCTTTGCGATTTGCCTATATTCATACACGTTATGCCTATATGATCTAGAATGTTGATAATTGTTGTTGAGTTTGATTCAACGAATTGCACGAATTTCCCTTTTCAACTGGACATCTTTCTGGGATTTCAGTGGCGAATGCATCATGTTATTAATTATGTCTGCAATGAACATCACGGTCTACTTGTTGCTATTTCTAGAGTATGGAAGACCAAGATTAATACGTAACAATGATCCACCAGAAGAGCGGCGGAAGCTTGTTTGAGAATCTCGATGGGACCAGACGAAAGTAAACCCCGAAATCCGCTGAGATCACGTGAAGAGCCAGATCTTCTTGCAGGGTCTCGGAGACGCTCACAACGACATCATTACTTCGAACTTTGAGTTTTATACGTCCTTTTTCTTCTGTACGGTTGAGACCATTGAGAGATCGGCATCACAACTCTCTCCAAGATCGTTGTGTCCGTCTGCTATACTCGCTCGTCACCCCGAGCATTTCATACTCCTTGACTTCCGCAATGTCCGTTACCATGAGGTCGGCCAGATTTATGCGCACCAATTCTGTATCGCGCCCCATTCTGATCGGTAAGCCAACTTTTTATGCTCAATTTAGCCGACCTGATAATTAAAAGATAACTATTGTGACTAATGATGGTCGTTATCAACAGCCCGACCACGGTATAACGGCGCCCTGGGCGCCGCATCGGCCGCAAATCTCCGGTTCAACGGACGAGGATTCCCAACCCACCTGCCGGCCATTGCGATCTTGGTCTCCCATCAGCGCGGCTATGCCACAGAAACTTCTTCCTCGACATCGTCGCCCTCCAACCCATTGCCGCCTCCAGGCTTCAGTGCTGAACAGGCCAAGAAGCCAATTCCCAAGGAAGATGCGTCGCGACTTGCGGGTGACAACGGGAGCACGCAGGTCGCCCCCAAGCCAGAGATGCCTCTTGCGGCGGGAAACAGCGTAGATGTGCAGAAGCGTGCCGAGCTGGAAGCGGCGAAGAAGTCGCTGGCGGACGATGAGAAGAAAGTGACTGAGGCGAAGAAGGAGCAGAAGAAGTTGACGATTGGGCAGAAGATTAAGAAGGAAGTTCAGCACTACTGGGATGGTACGAAGCTTCTTGCTACGGAAGTTAGGATCAGTTCGCGACTGGCGCTGAAGATGGCTGCTGGATATGAGCTCAGCCGGAGAGAGTACCGACAGGTTGGTTTTTTTTGCTACCCTTGCGAAGCGTTGGTGGATTCAACTCACGTATTTGAACAATTAGCTTCAACGAACGGTGAAAGACCTTGGCCGATTGATCCCATTCTCGATGTTCGTCATTATCCCTTTCGCCGAACTGCTACTTCCCATCGCCTTGAAGCTGTTCCCCAACCTGCTGCCTAGCACCTACGAAGGCCAGAAAGCACGCGAGAAAAAGGCTCTTAACTTGAGCTCAACCCGGAAAGAAGTTTCGACCTTTTTGAAGAACACCCTCAGAGAGAGTGGTCTCCCCGTGACTCCCGCAGCTGTCAGGAACGAGGAATTTGCAGAATTCTTCAAGAAGATTAGAACCACTGGGGAAGCCCCCTCGACCGCGGACGTGATTAAGGTTTGCAAGATCTTCAAGGATGACTTGACTCTGGACAATCTGTCCCGCCCCCAGCTTGTCGCCATTTGCAAATACATGAACTTGAATTCGTTCGGTACGGACGCCATGCTCCGGTACAACATTCGCCACCGAATGCGTCAGATTAAGCGTGATGATCGCGCGATTTTCTACGAGGGGGTGGAGTCGCTCTCTGTTCCGGAACTGCAGATGGCTTGTGCCTCACGTGGCATTCGTACGCATGGTATTTCTCCCGCTCGCCTGCGGGAAGACCTGTCGATGTGGCTGGATCTCCGCCTCAAGCAAGGCGTTCCGTCCACTCTTCTGGTGCTGAGCAACGCGTACGCATATGCGCAGGGCGGCAAGGAGGCGGAGATGTCGACTCAGATTGAAGCGCTCCAGTCTGTGCTGTCTAGCATCCCTGAAGAGTTGTTCCACGAAATCGAGCTCGAGGTCCACAATGCCGAGGGCGCTGCCACGAACAAGCAGCGTCTTGAGGTTATCAAGGAGCAGCAAGAGCTCATCGAGGAGGAAAACGAGCAGAACAGCAAGCACGAAGAAAAGGGCGTTTCAGCCCCCAAGGATACTGAGGATATCGACGAGACGGAGGACGCGAAGTTTGAGACGTCGGGCAGCCAAGAAAAGCAATCCAATGAGGCTGTTGAGGCTGAGAAGGAAGGCGACAAGGCCGAGCAGACACAGGCAGAAGACCTGGCTGCCAAGGACAAGGACGAGAAGAAGGGAGTTTCTTCGCAATAGAGTGTCGCCAGCAGCTGTTTCTCCTTCTATCTGCCCTCACCTCTTCTTCTTCTACCTGAGATATGAATCTCCCAAACAAATAGACTTGCACTTTCATCTGACTGCCCCAAGCCGCCTTCTCCTTCTTTTACCATGTTTTACTGTGGCGCCCAATATCGCCTTCCATGTCGGGAAACATTGAGATACTCTTCCAAACCCTAATCACATGATGCGCTAAATCCAATATGGGTTAGTGTAAATTTCCAGTTTTGTACGGACTTGGTAATAATAGTCTTATAGAATACCGGTATGAAAGATACAAGAGTATAGAATCAGAAGCCTGGATGACAAAAGAGTCTAGAAGGTTTCATACAAACTGAGCAAACTGAGCAAACTAGGTGACTGTTAACAATCTCTATCTGTTGCTTCATGTTACATTAGGAGCAGGCAGCACTTTGTCAGCACTATATAAGATAGTGTGATTGTGATTGAGTAATTTGTACCCCTGTAATCAACTTCTCTGGTTCCTGCTCCTCATATATTCACAAACTACCCAGTAACAAAATGGAATCTATTCTATCTGCACATGAAATCGGTGAAGGACTTCCTGTTTTGATCATTCATGGATGGCAGATGGAGGGAAGAGTCGAGGAGCTGGACTTTGAGCCGATTTTCAACAAAACACCAGGACTTCGCCGGATTTACGTGGACCTTCCAGGCATGGGCACAACACCTGCGAATAATGTCAAGGATCTGGACGATATATACCTTCGCCTGGTGCAATTCATTGATTCTCGACTTGGGAGGTCAAGATTCTTACTTGTCGGCTCATCATGTGGCGGCTACCTTGCACGTGCGATAGCTCAAAAATATATTGAGCAAGTCGATGGTTTACTATTACGCGTACCGCTTATTGAGCCAAAGGACAGCATGCGCGATCTCGATGCTTTCAAACCTTTGGTTGCAAACGAGCAACTCATGTCGAACATGTCAGCCGAAGACAGGACACTTCTTGGAAACGTTCTCGTTCAAACGCCTGCTTACGTTAAAGCTTTAAAGGCAAAATACGAGGAGGTTTTCCTTCCAGCGGAGAAAGCAGCAGACAATAAGGTGTTAGATCCGATCCGAGCAGATCCACATCGATATCAGTTATCTTTTTCGTTGGACAATGAAAGTGCTAAGTTCTTTGCACCCACACTTGTTATATGTGGTCGGCAAGACGAGAGCGTGGGCTATCGAGACAGCCTTCGCTTGCTGGAGCTCTATCCACGATCAACCTATGTTGTTCTAGATCGTGGTACGCATGGCCTTCCTATCGATGAGACTAGTGTTTTTGAAGCTCTTGTTCGTGATTGGATAATTCGGATTGATGAATGGCGAGGTCGCACGGACAGATAAGAGCATCTATATACCAACTCTAGTACCTAGAATGAAAGCAGCCAGCCCAGGAAAGAGCACGTTTGACGCTGGATGATGATGGTAAGATGTTAAACTCATCCCATAGAAAGATAGCTATCTTGTTGGTAAATAGGCTGGGTTTTTCAGTGAGGTGGTTATAAAGGGCGCCCAGCATCACAGGAGTGATGTTTAGCAGTTGGCCGGAGGGATTTGGGGAGATCTAGCACTGCTAAACAACCACAGGTTCTTATGTATATATGTGACAGAACACTCACTATACTTTGCCACCTTGGCTATTTATAATATGGTGAGTCTGTTCCTGCTGTGAATTATATAGATAATGATCTTACACTGCCAGGGATTAATATTTCATGCTATTTTATAAGGGGCTGGGATGTTTGTTGGAATGGGTGTTGGACACTACCATAGTGGGCGTGGTTATTTTTGGATCTGTAACAATACACGACCATACAGCTTACTAGGTCAAGTTTTCTGCGTTTAGCATTATTACCATTCAGACTCGGAACACATCTTTAAATACTGAGTAACCATATCGGGGTTACCGTGTCATGTGATTAGGGTTTCAAAGAGCATCTCTATGTTTTCCGACATGGAAGGCATTAATACTAATGGCCCACTCTATACCATTCTTTTTCTTGCTGATTAAATTCATTGACTTCTTGAAATTGATGTAAGACCAGATGGATGCATGCCAAAGTTGAATTCAAAGCATGGTGATAAGCATCTCGCACCTGATTGCCACTGTCCAACATCTGAGTGAAGGTAAGGGATGTTTTAAAATGCATCTCAGCATACAATAAAAATAGCACACTTAGATTTTTGTTTATTTCGCCTAGTTATCAGGCTCAGTAGTGCCAGTACTGAGACAGCTCAAGGCTGGTTCGACGGTTCTACCCCTGGAACCCTGGGCTTTTCCAGACCAAGACCCCAGATTATCCACTAACCTCGGCAACGGCAACGGAGCAACACCCATCTCCACGCCAATATCAAGAACTAGATCCATAGTTCATGTTATGACGATATAAAACAAAGCTAAGCGCCGTAATCACTCATATCGCTACATACTATGCGAAGACGACGACTCCTGCAACTGATCGCGATAACCCGTGGTTTCAGCACCGGCACCAGCAGGAGACTTGCGGCACAGCCCGCAGTCGCAAGGGAGAAGATGCCTCGTCTGAATCCGGCGTCACAGGTACGTCCTTTTATTTTTTGAAACTCGAAGGCAAGCTCGATTTAATTGCGCATCACCGGAATGGTCTTCCCGTTCTGGTACTTTTCAGCGGGTTGCATGGAGTACTGGCATGGGGATGTTTCAGAGTGCAATAAATGATCTCATTTCGAGTTCTGCGGCTGTCGCCCTTGTTTTGCTTCGGGACTACCCTATCGATGAATTTTCTTGTTCTACCAGCGGGAAATTGATGATGAGGGTGGGGACGACGACGTTGACGATGGATCTGGGCTAACCATCCACCCTTGCTATCTATGATTGCGTTGAATAGAGAGCGATTGATCGGCTGAGAGAGTATCGGCCTCCACCGACGAATTATGAACTTGTGCCATTGTCGCGTCGAGCGGCGGTTCTAGTGCTACTCTATGCGAATGCTAAGGGGGATCTGAGGGTTGTGTTGACGATTCGGGCGAAGACGTTGAGTTCGTGTGAGTGCTGTCATCATCTTCCAAGGAATGAATGTCGACGAGGTGTACCGTGTCGATGATCACATCATGACAAGACGATGAGGAGGATGATCTACTCATACCGCTATTTCTACAGATGCTGGTCAAGCAGCTTTACCTGGAGGTGAGTGGAGTGCTCCAACTTGCGGTCAAGAAAGAATTCAAGATTCGGAGGAATGAAGATATCCCGCTGCATATGATGTATCATCTCTTGCAGAGTCGAGAATGTGATTTTGAAAGTCAAAAACCCCTAAAAAAAAATTAAGCACTCACACCACGCTTCCCAGGACGGGCGGATACGCTGGAAGAGACCGCATTCCAGACGGCACGCCGCGAGGCACGTGAGGAAATAGGTTTGCCTGATCTCAATCAGACATTCCCCCGGCCGTTTAGCGTCGAGCATCTCTGCGAGTTCCCGGCTAATCTTGCTCGAACGGAGGTGGTTGTCCGCCCTTGCGTGGCGCTGCTCCATTCGTATGACGAGAAGACGGGCGAGAATGCTGACCCGGAGGTGTCGCTGATTCCCAGGCTGGATGCCAGAGAGGTTGCGGCTGTCTTTACGGCGCCATTTCACAACTTCCTACGCATGAGAGATGGGGATGACTGGGGCACTGAGGACCCAGCAGAATGGTATCAGGGAGCCTGGACCGAATGGCATCAGTCCAATTGGAGAAGTAAGTGGTACTGTCCTCCGTTGTACCTATTCCTATACTGTACTCCTGTACTCCGTAAGGTACATTGTTTGACGGGTGGTGTACCGTCGATTGAACTGGGTTGAATTGCAATGAAATGCAGAAAAGAGAAGAAAAGAAATCAAACAGAAGGAGAATGACAAAGAAAAGAAAATAAGATCGTCGGCTTGATTGATTTTTGCTTTTTGCTACGGAGTACTCCCTTGTTTTTGGCTTCTAGTTCTTGGCTAACCCACTCCAGTGCATCAGTTCTTTGTCCCCATCGACAGCCGGTCGGTTGTCAAACCGCGCAGCAGCAGCCGGAAGCAGAAACGGGCTGCAGACGAGCTGGAAGAAAAAGAAAAAGCAGGCGAGGTGACTCGCTATCGGGTGTTTGGCATGACGGCCCGCATTCTGGTCGATGTCGCGCGAGTGGCATATGGCGAGGAACCGGAATTCGAGCACAGCAGCCACTTTGGCGATGAAGCGATGATCGCCAATCTCCGAAAGATGGGACGATTGAGTGCCGTTCGTAAACCTACGGACGAACTCACGCCAGAGACGATGCAGAAGGCAGCCAAACTTAGTTAGGTTTAAAGGAATTGGACGTGTCGACTTATCCAGGTACCTGATCAGTGGCTCAAGAGGTTGGGCATCTGGAAACCTACATACTTGTACTTACTCTACACTATTAGTTACTGGCAGTATGAGCTTAAGCACTCATCCCCTTAAGTAGTACTGTCTAGATAGTGGTAGAATGTACTCCAATCTGCGCATAGGTTATCTACTTTAGGATGGTGTCCATTGTGAGTACCGTCCAACCCTACTCATGTTTCACTCTCGATCTACTATACTATTCTTATCTTTCACACTTCAAAGTCAACTAAACCATGTCATGATGATGAAGGAAAGGAAGGCAGTGCAGAGGCAGGCCGACACTACAGTAAGGTGGACATCCCTTGCGTTGGCGTGTCACCCCTCGCTCCAGTCCATGAGGCTGTTCGCTGGCGATGATGCTGATGATCCTGCACGACAAACTCACCAACTGCGCCGCTGCAGGGTTGGCCTTGCTGTTTGATTTGTTGAACCTTTTATATTTTGCGTTATCTCTTCTATTTCCATAATAATTATTTTGGCTTTTCTTTTATTTTTTTGATCATTCTTTATCTAGGGAGGGGGGCTGATTCCCCTTCCACCTGAATAATGACTCGTTTGGCTGCAATCTTCTATCCCTTTACTTCGCATTGTCTTTTTTTTTTTTTTTTTTCCCTTTCTTGTCCCTCTCAGCTCTGTCGCCTTATTCTTTACGGTCCCCCGCCCTCCTCTTCTTTCTTCCTCTTCTCTTCTTCTCTTCTTTTCTCTTTCCCTCCTGAAGATGCCTGTTCCTATATCTCCCCGCTGTATCCTTCCTGTGCATGCCCACTTCGAGGCTCGAGCGACAGGCTGACTTGCGGGGAAAGGGTCTTGTGATCAGCCATCCCGGACACCCCCCAGTGTTGTTGACACGCAGAAAGAAAGAAAAGCTCCCGTTCCTTGGCGGTTTGGGTTTCTTTGTTCTTGAGATATTATTGAACCTCGTCTATCTCCTCCGTAACTCAATCTGATCCATTCGCCATACCTAAATCCAAAATCCACAGACTTCTGTTGGTGCTGTCTAACGAAACATTGTTTCTTCCCCACTCTCCAAGCAGAAACCCTCGTGGAGGGGAAAGGATTTACCCCAGCTATCTGCTTGACGAACGAGTATAAAGCTGGGATCATGTTGTCTCCCGCCTCTCTCGCTTATTCCCGTCAGGCTCCTCCAGTGAGACCATCTCGATCTCTAGAGGGCCTGGAGCAGGTCGTCCCGCCCAGAGTTCCTCAATCTCCAGCTCGTCCTACCCTGCAACTGGACAAACCTCTTCCCGACCTTCCTTCGCAAGTACGGTCGCTCCCAGATGCCTCAGAGATGAGGGGTTCGACGGCATGGAGCGATGACAGCAGTACAATTAGCAGTGTGGAAAGTCGACGGGAATCCACCCACTCGACGGAGAGCTATCCCGTTTTCGTCCGTTCGGCGTCGGATGACCTGGCCGGGCTTGTCGATCATCCTCCGGTTTCGACCTTGGATCGTGCCTCGCCAATAGTGGAGCCCTGTGCTGAGCCATCAACGATAATTTCCTATTCTCCAAGCTTGTCGCTTTCCCAACATGCTCTATCAGTATCAACCGACGACCGATATGGAAGCCCGCCAGACTGGGCCCAGAAACGGGCCGGTCCGAACCATTATTTCCGGGAGAAGAAGTGGGATTTCTTCCCCGAGTTAGCGACCCCGTCTGCCTTGGGTCACGGAGCAGCTGGACGGTTTCCTCCCGCGAGTTCGCAATCGCGGAAGAAGAACGGGAGTAAATTGCATTTATCCTCGTTTGAATTTGGAAGGAATTGCAGGCGTTCGCATACCTCCGATCGGGGAACTCTAACGCTCGCCCATGAAGTTCGGGACTCGATCCGGTCCTACGTCCATCGCACATTGTCGAAGCATTCAGCGGAGAAGGACAAGTCGAAACGACCAGGGCGCCCTGCGACCGCGCCCTCCTTCTACCCGCGGGGGTATGCGTCTTCACAGGGGACCGCAACCTCAAGCGACCACTCGTATTATGGAACATCTAGGGAAGAACCGAGCCCGGTGGATATGGATGACCGGATGAGAACCCTATCAATCTCGACTGCTTCGACTACGAGCGAACGATGGGTAGAAAGCCCCAAGCCGATTCCTGTTCACCGGACGAAGCAGCTTGCTGTCCCAATCACTCCTTACCAGAAGTATGGTGCTGCCATCTGGGACAAATCCGGCGGCACAAAGAGAGTCAGCTACCGGCCAAATCACCAGGTGAAATTTCCAAAGTACCAAAGGAACATTAACCCGTCCTCCACGCACAAGTCGAAATCAAGTACGGACTTTACATCTTCCAATCCCACTGCGCCTTTGTCGCCGCCGGTACGTTCTGTGATCCAGCAGAACACTCGAGAGTGCATGCGAGTGTTACAGGATGGAACCACTCAAGTGCTGGATGTGCTTGATGAGGCGAAGAAGAAAGTAATCGGGTCGAGCGTCGACCGTCGACGAACGCAGCTCAAATCGCAGATTAGATTGATAGGGCCGGTCAACCCATACACCACCTACGGACGTGTTGATCCTTGGATATGATTTCTTTTTCGCTTTCTTTCTCCTGGTACTCTTGTATTCTGTCTCGGCCGAGCTTCTGGACTTTTCTGTCGACTTTTCCGCACCTTTGATGACGTTCATTTCTCCTTTGATATTTTGATACCTCTGGAAAGGCCTAAGGCTTGCGTTTGGCGTCTCGGCGACTGGATGGCACTAGATGATTGATGGAAGCGACTTTTTGATGCCAGCTATATGGTTTATACACTCTTTGTAATTGAGAATGTTCTGCAATACATGATATCTCCACCTATTCATCGTACCATACTTGTATAATTCTCGTTCTCCAATGGAGCGGTCCGCTGGTTTGTTGCGGAAAGAGACGCAAGACATCCCATAACCCTGTACTCTGTAGTGATCTACTACACTGCCTGGGGTGACACAAACCGATGATCTATGTATAACCTGAAGCATCTCAGCCCAGGTGATGCTGTCATAGTACAAGTCCTACAAGGATATTTATCAATAACCCCGTCGAAATTCAGCTTCTTCCGATCAATTCAGACAGAATTCCCGGTAGATGAAATCATGCAACATCTCATGACCATGGTTGATGTCTCACATTCCACCTCATCCGCTCCGTTTCCCCGCCATCGCCCGCTGTTGACTTCTCCGCACTTAAACGTCATCCCTGTTCCTGGCGAGTATCAGGCTGAACTCTTTCCCCTGACCTTCCCCTTCTCCTCTTTCTTTCTCTCTTCATCCCTCTGGACACTGAAGACCCTGAACCTAGAGTTTTCACCAGAATAGTTCTTAACCAAATTGCTACGGCGTATCCCTTAACCTATCTACATCAACGGTCTAGACCCGCCGAGATGGGTGGAGACGCCCCATTGCGAGCTCCAAGCTCGCTCCCTCGAAGCCCCGAACATCCCGTCGGCCAACGCATCAATAAAATCTACACAGATCGACTGCGCCAGTTCACAGACTCAGGCCAGTACCGTGAGCAAAGCCTCATCTCGTACGTTAATCCCACCAACAGAAGAGCCCCCGCTAACTCCCACCACAGCAAGCTCCACGAAGCCACCACCTCCGACGAAGACCATGTCAAGCTGTCCGTCTACTCTCCCCCGGACCTGCAGCGTCCAACATTCGAGGAGGCGACATCGCACGAGTTCACGCCCACGCATATCGGCGCCTCGTTCGGCCCTAGCTGGTCGACGCACTGGTTCCGGATTCGGCTGACGGTCCCGCGGGATATGCTCGACAAGGAGCGGTTGGAGTTCCATTGGGATGCAAATAACGAGGGCTTGGTGTGGATGGAGGATGGTCGGCCGGTCCAGGGGTTGACTGGTGGCGGGGAGCGGATCGAATGGGTTATTCCTGATGCGTGGCGCGACGGCAAGGAACATACGTTTTACATCGAGATGGCGTGCAATGCTATGTTTGGGAATGCGCCTGGCGGCGATTCGATCCAGCCGCCTGCGCCGGATAAGTACTACACGCTGCATACGGCGCGGATCACTGCGGTCAATGTGGAGGCGCGGGCGCTGTTTTATGATTATTGGATCATCGGCGGTGCGTATACGGCTGCTATTGGCAAAGCAAGGTGTTTATCTAAAGGCTGACTTTTGCAGACGCCGCGAGGGAATTCCCCGGTGACTCTTGGGAGTCTCATGAAGCGAATATGGTTGCCAACGCCATCATAGATGCTTTCATAGCGGCTAACGGAAGCCAAGAGTCGATCAAGGAAGCGCGCAAAATCGCTCAGAAGTATCTTGGAGACAAGGTCGACTCGTCCGAGGTCTATGAGACAGACGCCCAGCCCATCGTCTACGCCATCGGGCACTGCCATATCGACACCTGTTGGCTCTGGCCTTGGGCTGAGACAAAGCGCAAGGTCGCTCGCTCTTGGTCCAACCAGTGTGACCTGATGGACCGGTACCCAGAGCACCGATTCGCTTGCTCTCAGGCGCAACAGTTCAAGTGGCTCGAGCAATATTACCCTTCGGTCTTTGACCGCGTCAAACGATGGGTCAGGAAGGGCCATTTCCAGCCGATTGGTGGCAGCTGGGTTGAGCACGACACCAACATGCCCAGCGGTGAGTCGCTGGTGCGACAATTCCTTTACGGCCAAAGGTTCTTTGAGAGCCGCTTTGGCGAGCGTTGCAGCACCTTTTGGCTGCCGGATACCTTTGGCTACTCCAGTCAAATCCCTCAGATTTGCCGGATGGCGGGTATGAACCGCTTCTTTACCCAGAAACTCAGCTGGAACAATATCAACAATTTCCCGCACACTACCTTCCAGTGGGTTGCGCTTGATGGCAGCCAGGTAATGTGCCACATGGCTCCGTCCGAGACGTACACCGCGAGTGCACATTTTGGCGACGTCAGACGCAGCGTGACCCAGCACAAATCGATGGACCAGGACAACACTTCGCTTCTGGTATTCGGAAAAGGAGATGGTGGCGGTGGCCCTACCTTTGAACATCTGGAGAAGCTGCGCCGCTGCCGGGGTCTCAGTGACAAGGTTGGCTTGCTTCCGCGCGTGAAGATGGGCGACTCGGTCGATGATTTCTTCGCGAGGCTTGAGCAAAAGGTTGCAAATGGAACAGAGTTTGTCACCTGGTATGGCGAGCTCTACTTCGAACTGCACCGGGGCACATACACTACGCAGGCGAACAACAAGCGGAACAACCGCAAGTCTGAATTCCTACTGCGCGATTTAGAGTATCTGGCGACCCTCGCGTCCCTCACCAAGACGAATGGCGAGTACAAATATCCAAAGAAAGATATTGATGACATGTGGGAAGGTGTGCTTCTATGCCAGTTCCACGATTGTCTACCCGGAAGCGCCATCGAGATGTGCTACGACGATTCGGACAGGCTGTATGCGCAGATTTTTGAGACGGGAGAGCGAGCCAGACAACAAGCTCTCGGAGCGCTTGGATTTACCGATAATAGTACGGACAAGAGTCTCGTCGCCATCAACACGTTGCCTTGGTCACGCTCGGAGATTGTCAGAATACCGGATGAGTTTGTCGCGTCGAAAGGCTCACGGTATGCTCTAGCAACCGGAGATTCTGGCCTCATCCAATGTCAGATTCTAGACGCTAAACAAAGACCCGCCGTGACGGTGTCAGAGACACGGCCGGGTGTTTTTCGTCTGGACAATGGCAAGTTGAGGGTGGATGTCCAGGATGGCGTTATTACTTCTTTGTATGACCTCGAAGCCGAGCGAGAAGTCATCGCCAAGGGAGGCAAGGCGGGCCAGCTCGTCATCTTTGACGACAAGCCGCTCTACTGGCAAGCCTGGGACGTGGAAGTATACCATCTCGAATCGAGAAAAGAGCTGCAGTCGGGAAAAACCTCGATCGCAGAAGAAGGCCCGCACCGTGTCAGCGTGGTCACCAAAGCCCAAATCAGCGACAAGAGCTGGGTCAAGACGACCATCAGCCTGGCGGCGGCAGTGAATGACCAGCCCTCATACGTTGAGCTGGAGAGCGAAGTCGAGTGGCAGGAGACCATGAAGTTCCTAAAGGTCGAATTCCCTGTAGACATCACGAACACAGAGGCATCCTACGAGACTCAATACGGGATCACTCGACGACCGACGCATTACAACACAAGGTATGTCAAGCTTGTCCTAGACCTTAATACGTAAGTTTCTGACCAAAACAGCTGGGATATGGCCAAATTCGAAGTCTGCTGCCACAAATGGGCCGACTTGTCCGAGTACGGGTACGGCGTCTCGATCCTCAACGACTCCAAATACGGTTTCGCAACCTGCGGTAACCTGATGCGTCTGTCGCTTCTGCGTGCCCCCAAGGCCCCGGACGCCCATGCCGACATGGGCCGCCATCACATCCGCTACGCCATTCTCCCGCACTCTGGAGCCCTGGACGCCCGCACCGTCCGCGCGGGTTACAACTTCAACAGTCCCCTTATCCTTCGCCGTTCGTCGGGCATGGAAGCTGCTAACGTGTTCAAATCCATCACTGTCACCGGCTCACCGTCTCTCATCCTTGACGTGGTCAAGCGCGGAGAGGACGATGAAGATGTTTCTGGGGGCGATTTGCCCAAGCGGTCCGGGAAGAGCATCATCCTTCGCATCTATGAGTCGCTGGGCGGTAGATCGAGAGGGACAATCCACGCCAAGTTCCCGGTCAAGGAGGCTTGGAAGTGCAATGTACTTGAAGACAATGAGGAGCGCTTGGAAATTCGCAAGGGCGAGGAGGGCGTCGGAGTCAAGATTGAGCTGCGGGCTTTTGAGGTTGCCACCTACCGCTTGCAGCTGTAGATTTGCTGATGGTGTTGCAATGGGTTTGGTGAATGTGTTTATATTGATGAACGGTAGCAGAGTCAATGTCATTATTTGCCTTGAGTCTAATACAGCCTTCATACACAAGTGGATATCAACCGAAAGATCAAGACGACCGTAAATGCTTCACATGTGCCAGTTCAAAAAGAGAACCCCCTGCGCCTAAGCTCCATTTTCCCACCCCGAATTTCTTGATGCGTAGAACAAAACCCCATAAACTCCTTAAGTCGAGCAAATTTAATCCCTCCCATAAGTGATCTTCAACCGCTTCGCAGGCGGCTTATCCCCACCCTCATCGCCCTCATCATCCTTATCTTTATCCTTGTTATTAGCACCATTCCCCCCACCAGACTTCTTCTTATTCTTCGACGACGAGGACGACGAAGACCCCTTGACGCTCGCCGCCGCGGACGACGTCCCATCGCCGTTCGGCTTCCCGTTCGACCCGTTATACGTCGACGTTGGCGTCGGCGCATGCGAAGGCGTAGTCTGCACGGATGACGGAGCGGGGGAATCCTATCACTTCGGTCAGTCCCCTAGAAGCAACCATAACAATAAGCCTCCCAGGGATGTTAGGAAGCGACGCACCCGCATGAAACTCGCCGAACTCCTCGAAAACACCCTATCCGCCTCTGTCACCTGCGCCTTGCGACGCGCTGCGCCGCCCACGCCCCCCGTCAGCGCTATCCCGCTTGCGCCGAGCCCCGTGCTCGACCCGGAGCCCTTGATGTAGTTGTCGAAGCCCTTGATGATGTTTCCGGCGGTGGTTTCTTCGAGGTAGGATTGTTCGAAGCGGAAGATTTGGTCTTCGAGTTGGGCCTGGTTGGCGGCACTGGTTAGTTGCGAGGTTCTGGCGGACTGGGAGGTTCGGATATAGGGGAAGGCCTACCATGCTTTTGTCCATGAGTCGTTTCTTCTGCAGCGCGTCGCGGAGATCGCGGCGGAGTTTTTCGTAGTAGGGGAGGCCGCGGTTTGCGCTGTTTGGTTCTGTTGTGCTGGCGTTGCCGGTGGTTGGGTTGTTGGTGCTGGGGTTTTGTGTGCTTGTTGCTGCGCCTGTTGCTGCCGCTCCTGCTGTTGCACCTGTTGATGTGCCAGTTGCGGCTGGGGCTTGCGCTGGGACCGTGTCTGCCATTTTGTCTGTGCGCAGCAATGGGGTGACAGGGACTGAATATGCTCAATTAAGATGCTGTCAATTCGTTGATAACAGGTTGAGAGGGCGCGCGTTGTTCGTGATGCTTGGTTGTTCTGGCTATCCTCTTGAGACAGGGCGGTTGAGGTTGACACCGGTCGGAGGACTCCCATATCCAGTAAGTGTGAAGCCAAAGGGGGACCTTATCGACTCCGTTTGTCTTGTTTGCATTGAGCATACGTTTCGTCCTTGATGAATGCAGCAACTGTCAGCATCGATCTGAGCCTCTTTTCTCAGTTTCAGGTTTCTCGCATTTACCTCATATAGTGTGCTCTCTTGAACAAATATCTATCACGTACATCTCGGAATAATGGACCACAGCGCGATGCACCATTCCGGCATGGATATGGACCATGGACACGGGGACATGGATATGGGCGGGCAGTGCAATATGAATGTGAGATCTCCTAGCTCTATCTATGTTTACAATCTTGTACACTGACACAATTAGATGCTATTCACCTGGTCTACCAAGGACCTCTGCATCGTCTTCCGCCAGTGGCATATCACCGGCCCCTTCTCCCTCCTCGTCTCTCTGCTTGTCATCGTGCTCTTGACAGCGGGCTACGAGGGCGTCCGGCAGCTCACCCGGAGATATGAAGCTGCGCATGCACAGCATCTGAACACTTTCTCTACAACAACAGCTACGATCGGTAAGTACTTCGTTCTGTTCTGGGCTATTCAACGTATATCTACGGTGGCATGGTGTGTTGGTGGACTCTGCCGAGCAAGTATTTGTTTCATTGAAATGTGCTCTCACTTTCTATGTATGCTTTGGTCATAGCTGGAATCGAGCCCTCATTGACGAATCCGGTGTGCAAGGCAATGAGTTCGCCGACGAGTCCGCCACGGCCAACCTTCCCTCTAGTCAAGACCCCAACGAGAGCTCACCGCTAGTTGTAGGTAGGGATAACAGACGGGCCGTGGAGCAAAGAGGGAAAGTCACCCTTGCAGCCTTGTATGCCGTGCAAGTGTTCTATAGCTTCTTCATCATGTGAGTTTTCTCTTCTGCCTGTTTGTTTCATCAGTTCAGCTGCTTAGAGGCGCATAGGCTGCTGTTCATGACGTATAATGGGTTCGTCATGCTTGCAGTTGCCGTTGGTGCTTTCGTCGGATATCTGGTGTTCGGAGATAACCAGTCAGCCGCGAAGACGGTTGCTTGTCATTGATGATTCCGGATAATGGTTGGCTTCTCCCAGTGGGTGTAGGCGCCAGATTATCAACGACGATTTGTGCTTAGTTGGAATATATATGATTTAGACCGTCTTGTGACAAACTCCAGGCCGAGTGGGAGAAAGTCAGGGAACTTCCACGTCGCTCCCATCATCTCCAAAGCCGAAACTGAATCCGCCTGCTTCAGAGGCGTCTCCGGCGCCCTCCTGGTCCAGCTTTCCATGGATCAGCTCATCCCACTTGCGCTTCTTGCCATCTGACTTTTTCTTCAACTCATCGAGTGCCTGCTGTAGTAGTTCGGGATGAGACTTGCGCATGTTTTCCACAAACCGCTCGTAGGGGTTATACACATCTTTCCTGAACCCAGAAACCTGATCCGCCTTGTTAGACAAAAAGTCAAGGGTAGCAGTCAAATGCGCACGCGGGGTGAAATTCTGCGTAATAGCAATGGAAGGCTCCAGATTCACGACCAAATGCCACCATCCTGAGGGCACGTGAAGAATTTCCCCTTCGCCACAGATACCTTCAATGCAGCCAGGTGTGCGCCGTGCCTCGGCATGGAAGCCAAGCAGCCATTCTGCAATGCTCAGAGGTGACGTGACTTCGCTCTGATCGTCCGAAACAAAAACACCAGGCGGGGGTGGCAGTTTCGACGACGAGGGAAACATGATCCAGTACTTGGAGCCGCGAACGACTGCGTTCCACGCGCTGGTCGCATTGGGGTCCTTGTGGAATGTACTGCCTGATCGCTCAGGGCCAACGATGAGCCATTGCCTATCCGGGCGGTCATTCCCCAGCACGGAGAAGAAGTCTTCTCCAAAGCACGGAGGAGGCCAGTAAGTCGCCTCAGGTTCCTGCTCCGGCGGACCAACCTTGAGCCCCATTTTTGACACAAAGGCCCGGTCAAACAGATACAGAGGACTCTCATCTGCGTTGTTCCTCATGTAATCCACGTAGGTGCTCAATTTCCAATCCACAGCCTCGGCACGAAAGACCGTGTCTCCGTATTTGGCAAGCAGTGAGTCTACGGACCAGTGCTTGTAAGCCGGCCACTGCTTCACCGGCTGGGTCAAAATGAAAGGCTTATCGGACCATTCTGCTTGGAAATCCTCCGGAGAAAGGTCCGGAAGACGGGTGATCTGATTTCTCGAGGGAATATGGTTCACGTAGGTGTCCAAGGAGATGTGTGCGCAATAGAATGGACGATGAAGAGCATCAGAGAACAGACTTGAGCAGTCCAATATCGCAATTTTGGACGGAGGCAAGTTGAGGTAGGTCGAACGCCATGTTCCTCTCCAAGTGAATGACGAAGGGGGCGACCTGAAGATGCCTCTTAGTGAATAGTCTCAAGACTACTAGATTCTAAGGTCTAGTGATCATGTCTAAATGTACGAAGACCTATGTATCCTTACCAAATGAAAAGAGCCTTCCACAATTCCTCCGCCCTTGTAAATGCATAAAACGCCTTACAGGTCCTCCCGAACCGCAATAGACTTGGACCATCCAGAGACTCTAGCAGCATCAAAATCAACTCATCTGGCAAGAGATTGAACGTCCCAATCGCATGACGGAGATTCTCATTGGCAAGCAGAGCATTGCCACTCGGCTTTACGCCTAGCGGATGACAGGGGATTGCATCATGTCCGGTTAGATCCTGAAGGCTGACATTCTGGGGGAAAGGGCGAGGATCAGTCTCGCCCCCTAGTGAGTGATTCTGCAAAGATGTAATATCAGGCATTTGACTCTCTGGTAGCCAGAGCCTCAGTACTCGGATCTGGCACTGAGAATGGGAGGTGTATGGTGAGGACAAAGTACGGGGTACTCCGAATATACGGGGTAGTTCTAAAAGATTCCGGAAGCTCTATATCAAAGAACAAATAGAACAAAAGTCATGATAATAAGAATAATTGTATCCTGCACAAGAACATTCTGTGCCTCTATCAAGTATCAACATCACCACCACTCACAAGTCACCACGGCAAAAAAATTCCCACGAGGCAAACCATGAAGCCAGAAACAGCAGGCGGTGGAAGTGGGTTGGGCAGAATTGGCGCTAAACAGGAAAAAATCAAAAATTTCAACGGCTTCACCAAAAGAGACAAGGAAAATCTTTTTCTCCCTCTTCTTCTCCAGCCCACACCACTACTACCCGGTGAAACCATCTTCATATCTTACTATCTCAACTACCACCATCACTACTTTACTAGTTCCTAGGAAATCTCCCTCGTGAGAGTCGTGGTTCTAGTCTCTAAAGTATCTTTATTAAGAGACTTTCATTACTCTCAGATCTCTGCGACTACACCCCCCACTGGGATTTGTTGTCGCTAAGAAACTTCCAAAGTTCACAACCAACACCCCACTATTCCATCGATCACAGCTTTTCGCCTGTGATCACCACCTACTACAGTCGCAATCATGGCTTCTAACGACAAGGGTTTGGAGGAGATCCCTGAGGGTATGTTCTAAGTGTCATTTTCTAGTGTTCTTATCAGCTGTGGTGTTACTGTGTCGACTACAGACATTTTGTGGCGTCGCTTGCAACAGAAAAATTCTACTGCGGACATTACAGCAAAAGATACAGGACTGACAATGCTCTCAAATTTTAGGACAGATCGAGTCCAACTACGATGAGATTACCGACTCCTTCGACGCCATGGAGCTGAAGCCCGAGCTGCTTCGCGGTATGTTTTGCTCGTCTCAACCCGACGATATGGCGGGGTATGTGTGTAGCAAGTATTGACGATATCTTCCCCCAGGTATCTACGCCTATGGTTTCGAGCGTCCCTCTGCTATCCAGCAGCGTGCCATCATGCCCGTCATCAAGGGTAGGTTCTTCCTAGTACGGCCTCTGAGAGCACCGTCATTAATTTGGAAATCACAGGTAGCGATGTTATCGCTCAGGCCCAGTCTGGTACTGGAAAGACTGCCACTTTCTCCATCTCCGCTCTGCAGAAGCTCGACCCCAACGTGAAGGGTTGCCAGGCCCTGATCCTTGCTCCCACCCGTGAGTTGGCTCAGCAGATCCAGAAGGTTGTTGTCGCCATCGGTGACTTCATGAACATTGAGTGCCACGCCTGCATTGGTGGTACCAACGTCCGTGAGGACATGAAGGCTCTCCAGGAGGGTCCCCAGGTCGTTGTCGGTACCCCCGGCCGTGTCCAGGACATGATCCAGCGCCGTGTCCTTCGCACCGACCACCTGAAGATGTTCATCCTCGACGAGGCTGATGAGATGCTGTCTGTAAGTTGACCTTGTCTGCGTATATTTCGCCAAAGCATCTGGTCTAACGTAGTATACAGCGTGGTTTCACCGAGCAAATCTACGACATCTTCCAGCTCCTTCCTCAGTCCACTCAGGTCGTCCTGCTGTCTGCTACCATGCCCCAGGATGTCCTTGAGGTTACCACCAAGTTCATGCGCGACCCCGTCCGTATCCTGGTGAAGAAGCAGGAACTCACCCTGGAAGGTATCAAGCAGTTCTACATCGCTGTCGAGAAGGAAGAGTGGAAGCTCGACACCCTGTCCGATCTCTACGAGACTGTCACCATCACCCAGGCTGTCATCTTCTGCAACACCCGCCGCAAGGTCGACTGGCTTACTGACAAGCTCACTGCCCGTGACTTCACTGTCTCTGCCATGCACGGTGATATGGAGCAGGCTCAGCGTGATGTTATCATGAAGGAGTTCCGCTCTGGTTCTTCCCGTGTCCTGATCGCCACTGACCTCCTGGCTCGTGGTATCGACGTCCAGCAGGTCTCTCTGGTCATCAACTACGACTTGCCCGCCAACCGTGAGAACTACATTCACCGTATCGGTCGTGGTGGTCGTTTCGGTCGTAAGGGTGTTGCCATCAACTTCGTCACTGCTGACGATGTCCGCATGATGCGTGAGATCGAGCAGTTCTACAGCACCCAGATCGAGGAGATGCCCATGAACGTTGCTGGTAAGTTCAACTTGTGGAACTCGGCTTTGATAGAATGTATGCTAACTCGCTATCAGACCTTATCTAAACGCCCCAACCTCGAGTCACCGCCCGTATCTTTTATGATGCGGCTCACGATCGCAGTATGCCAATAACATGCCAAGGGTAAGCTGCGGTGGAAAAAGGCGTTTTTAACATCGTTGCTTGTCTTTTGGCGAAGGAGAATCCTTTAAAAGTGGCTTTCTGTGTCTCCAGCTCTTCTTCTGCTGGCAGTGGATTGCGGAGAGTGCGGTAGGAGCAGCTGCTGCACATCTTCGGAAGCTGCTGTTCATGGTTTCCTTTGTTTTCTAATGGAGATGCGACATGTTCTGTGCTTTTTAACGCTGTAATTCATGGTTTCTCTTTTCCCTGCATCACTTCGAGTTTGCCGATTTTTCCCCTTTCCATTTTGTGCTTGGCTGGCCTTGGTTGGTTAAGGATGCTGCTATCATGCTTACCCAGTCGGTTGAGTGGAAAATGCTATTTGTTCATTCAGTTGCTTTTTCTTTCTGCCTCATGAACAGACAAGGCACTTTGGGTGGACGAATACATGATCATGACATGGAGGTGGTTTCATACCTGCAGTACCATAGATAGAGGTAAATGCCATTCCAATTGTTCCAAAACTGAGCCTTGTACTCTGTTCTCCTTGAAATTTTCGGTTACTGTGACTCGTCGCGAACAACTAATTGTTGAGTTGTTCAATCTAACCTCATGTAACACTCATCATCTACTGCCATCAGACACTCAGATCATCACCACTTCCTCACTGCGATCCTCTATTCGGCCATCAGAATACAAATTCCATGATCCTCACCCAGCATCCCATTCTTATCTGGACATCTTCTATCATAACCGCTCCCCATGGACAAAACGACAATACGCGCATGGGACCCAACAGCCCCCTCGCTCCTCTGGGCTCACGAGATCCGCCGCGAGAATATCCACCTGGTCAACCAGCTCGACAGCACAAGAGCCGATCTCGCCGGCGCCATCGCTACGATCAACGAACTGAAACAGCAATTGAACGAATTACGAGAACAGGCACAGACAGCTAACAGCAACCATGATAGCTGCGACCAGAAGCTGAAGGACATTACGGAGAGAATGGAGACTAGGTTGGAGGGTATCTCTGGGCGGATCGATTCCATTGAGCGTGAGAATGGCCGCTTGAAAGAGGGACTTGATGGCATCGAACGGGGATGCAGTGGGCTGGATGGGTTGAGGGAGTCGATACAGAGGCAGGTTCTGGATGACGTTCGGGTCTGGTTTACAAGAGAGAAGGAGATTCTACAAGGTAGAGTGGGATGTCCCCATGGGGATGGTACGTTGATGCTCTCGTCTTGTTTGATTTCCTCTTGGATGTTGCATCCGTAAATCTCATAGTCTTGCTGATCAAGGACAGACTCTGCGAAAGTCAAACAGGCGTCTCCAGAACCAGACTTGGTACCCGATTCAATGCGCCTGGATGAATGTACTTCATTCGCTCGAAACGACTCCTTGCGAACCCTCACCGAGACTACGTGGTCATCCTCGAGCAATTCGCAAGCTTCTTCGAGCGAGGTTAAAATGTACCAGGAGAAGGAACCGATTCCCGAACCCGATACAGCTCTGCTTCGGCAGATCAGGCAAGGCGGGCGAGATCTTGGGGAGTATCTTTCGTCCGTTGAGGACATGCGCGCGCAGTTGCCTCCGCGGAAGAGAGAGGGTGAGATCGTCGAGGCTTTTGTGCGGGGGCTTGATGATGCGGGGACGAGGGGTGTGGTGGAAGGCGAGATGGATAAAACCGGATGGTCGTGGGATACTTTGGCGAAGATAGTGCGCAACGAGATTGACAGGCAACGCGGACAGGCGGTGGAATTGCAGCGAGCTGTCAAGGCGGATGTCGAAGAGCGCGTGGACGCTATACAGCCTCCGGCTGAGATTCACACATTCAGACCACGTAAGAAGCAAAGGAGATTCATTCCAATTGTGCCGGCAGATGAAGATGATTTGATAGTATAAAATGTACCTGAACTTGGGATTGTCCGGATGCGAATTGTGTTTGCAGGGTATGTGGATATACAGCAGCTAGCCAAATATGCAATGTCCGGTTGATACAGGATATCACGTCTCACTGTACACATATCTGCCCTCGCGATCCTTCACCTCCACCTCGATTCTACCCTCCTCGATCTCCTTCCCGTCCACTTCGATGGACGCCTTCATAACATCACCGGACTTGACCTCTCCGACTCCCTTGGGGGTACCAGTCAGAACAAGGTCTCCCTTCTCCAGCGTCATGACGCGCGAGATCTCTGCCAGCTGCCTGGGGATCCGGTAGAGCATGAGGCCGGTGGAATCTGCCTGGCGGAGCTGGGAGCCAACGCTGAGACGCAAGAAGGCATTGTGGGGATCGGGAATACGCGACTTGGGGATCTCCTGGGAAATGGGCAGGAAGGTGTCAAAGCCCTTGGCGATGGACCAGGGAAGACCCTTCTTCTTCGCCTCGTCTTGGACGTTCCGGCCGGTCATGTCAATGGCGAGGAGGTAGCCTGTAGCAAGAGACGCCAGGAGTTAATCATCAGCTAAATCGAGCGGCGACATAGGACAGGCATCTTTAACAGGTCACTGACTGTGAATCGCATCCAGAGCGCCCTTCTCATCGCTCGGGTCCAGATCCCGAACCGTCTTGCCCATCACTAGCGCCAATTCCACCTCATAGTGCAGGTTGACTCCCTTGGGACGCAGAACGGGACCCTCGCCCGGCAGAAGAATAGAGGACGAGGGCTTCAGAAAGAAGAAAGGCTGCTTGGGCTTGGTGTTCTTGAGTTCTGTAATGTGATCGCTGCGGGGGTAGCATTCGTCAGCGGTGTTAATGCTGTCAGGGCCATCGGAGTACTCACGCATAGTTCCGGCCGATGCAAATCACTTTTCTGCAGTTAGCTCTGATTGAGGCTGCCATTGTGAGGGAGTCTGGTTGGAAGGGAGATGACGTCTTGCTGAGAAGGACATTCGCTGTCAAGTGTCAATAGTTATAGCCAAATCCCCGTCGGACAACAGCCGATGCGACGGAATGGCACTCCGCATTTTGCGGAGAACTCTTCGGAATCTCCGAGCTCGGCACTTCATGTTCGGAAAAAGTCATTTCAATGCTGTCCCCAGGTTTATAGTTATGCTGGTCGATTGAAGGTTGGAGCATGCCATGACAGCAAAGAAAATGAACTGGAATTGGGTTCTTGAAAGTTGAGTGTGATATTAAGGAAAACACATGATTCACCATGCATGCTCCTGCCAAGACATCGCCATCTTCTTGACGTAGACGTCCAGAAAGAATATACATCTAGACCACCGACTTAGACTCATCATACTCATCAATCATGCAGGTAGCAGAAATCCTCTCTGATCTGACCTCACTACGAGTCTGCGTACGTTCAACCTCTCAAAGACCTCGGCTTAATAGTTACACCAGTCTAAACTATGACAGGACTATAACGACGCCCTTGCCCTAGTCACCGTCAACGAAAGGCTCAACGAGGCACGAGTACCACCAGATGACAGAAGCAAAGCTGCTGTGAGCAAGCGACAGCAGGAGCAGCAGAATGATGATCTCCGACGGGCAAAGGAGCTTGTTGATCTACATTATGAGATGAAGGCGAAACATGCACACGGCATGGTCGATGAGGAGCTTACTCGTGCTCGGGAGGAGGTGAACCGGGTCCTAAAGGAACTGGAGAGTTGAGACTGTGCTCCAGGATGCTTATTTCAATATATATTTTAGGGCTGCTGCCGCCATGATGCTATGATTTGATGTTACAGATGGCTGCCCGTTGATCGGGTCACATATCCAGTTTGATTTCCAGTATTTCATGGGCTCGCGTCATTGCGTCCCTTGCATTGTCGTACTTCACTCAAAACAAACCTACCGACTGCAATAGGAGCACAGAATTAAGCGTTATTCTCTACTTCCTCAAGGACCACCAGGACTTGTCATTCACTCAGTGGGAACCTAGGCTTCTGTAGATTGATAGTCGGCCCGACCTGACCTCCGGAGTGCGGGCATCTTTGAGACCACAGACGCAATTTGGAGCATCATCGCAGTTGCACGCGTTCTTCCTTTTTCCTCAATCGCTCCTTTGGCTGTGCCGCGAATCGTCACAGCTCATACAGCAATAATGGCGTCCAGTATAGATGCCAAATTACTCAAACAGACCAAGTTCCCTCCCGAGTTCAGTCGGAAGGTGGATATGAAGAAGGTCAACATTGAGGTTATGAAGAAGTGAGAAGCGACCCTTGAACACAATTATCTGGAAAGAGCTTTTCCTAACGAAAGATTGTAGATGGATTGCTGGGAAGATTTCTGAAATTCTTGGGAACGAAGACGATGTCGTTATTGAACTCTGTTTTAACTTACTAGAAGGCTCGCGTTTCGTATGTTTCCTTCGGCGAATGTTCTGGGTCCGGAGCTGTCCACTGACCGGTTGCTTTAACACTTATAGCCGGATATCAAGTCTTTACAAATTCAGCTTACGGGGTTTCTGGACAAGGATACCGCCAAGTTCTGCAAAGATCTCTGGTCACTATGTCTCAGCGCTCAAGAGAACCCCCAAGGCGTCCCGAAGGAGCTCCTGGAAGCCAAGAAACTTGAACTCATACAAGAGAAGGTAGGACTGCTAGATTGTTGGCCCGGCTTTATATCTGATGTTGATACCGTTCCCGATAGATCGAGGCAGAAAAAGCAGCGGAAGAAGCTCGCCGCAAGAAAGAGCAAGAGCGAGCACGCGAAAGGGAGTTGGAAGAAATTCGGCAAAGAGAACGATGGGATCGCAATCGGGGCAGGCGAGGTGGCGGTCGTGGAGGCCGAGACTTCGATAGACGGTCATACAGAGACAATCGATCGCCACCCAGGCGACGAAGCCGCGAGCGATTTCGTGACCCACCCTCAAGACGAGAGTTTGATTCTTACGTTCCCTCAGGTTCGCGTCGGGGCCGTCGGCCTTCAAGATCGCCGAGCGCCTCTCGCTCCCGCTCTCGTTCCGTTTCCTCATCTCGATCCCCACCTCGTCGACGCCTCCCAAGCAGAGACAGATACCGAGATAAACGTCGCCGCTCCGCGAGTGGCTCTGTTTCTCCAGACAGAGGAGACCAGAGGAAACCGAGAAGACGCGGTCCAGACTACGGTGATCGAGCTAGATCCATTTCCCGCAGTGATTCATCGCGCTCACGTACTCCCAGAAGAGATCGAAGGAGACGAAGATCTGTCTCTTCCCACAGTTCATCCCGTTCACCTGCTCCCCGAGACCGGCGCAGAGGGGAAGACCGGTCGCGCTCGAGGTCGCGGTCTAGGTCGCGGTCTAGGTCGCGAGGTCTGGATGAGAAGAGCAGCAGACGGAGGGGATCCTCACCTCATATCTCAAGAGCTGATAAGAAAGAACCAACCGCTGATTCTGCAAAGGCCCGCAAGTCCCGTGATGATCGCCGTTTGAGTCGCAGCAGAGATCGTGATGATGAGCGCAGACGACACCGCACAACCAGGAGTGTGAGCCGCAGCCGCAGCCGCAGTCGAGGCCGTTCTCGCACTGGCAGCGTCAGTCCGAGACGTCCTTCTCGCAGCCGCAGTCGCAGTCATGCAAGAGAAAGGAAGAGACGTCGCTCTATTGAGAGATATGCCCCTGCTGCCCGAAGACGGCGCAACACCTCTTCTGTATCTGCACATACTGAGAAACGACAGAGGATGGCTGATCAAACCGAGGAATCCGCAAGGCGGTCGTCTCCACCGCCTGAGCAGCCGAACTCGACAGGTCACGAGATGAAGGATACTGAAGAGGTGGGTAACTGATTTCAGATGGATATCGTACCCGATGAGTAAATCTGGATTCTTGATGTTCGTTCCTTTGTCTACCTATTCCAATTCGCTCTCCCAGTGGACTATTTCCAGACTAACGAAGCTTCGCAGACTGCTCACTCAAAACCGAATCGGCCGCGCATATCGAGCACGGAGTTGCGCGAGAAGCTTCTCCGCGAAAAGCTAGTTGCAATGCGCCGTACTGCCTCTCATGATAGGTAGGTGGCAATACGACAGCCTCCAAGCAGTATACGATTAGAACATGAAGCCTAGTGATCAATAGACACCTTGTCAAGTGGACTGGCTTACTAGTGATCCAGATAAAGATGACTATGGGCCTCTCGGGAATTTTCTTGATTCTGGAAATCTTCTCTTTTCTTCTCACTTATGGTTGTAATTCTGAATACATGGACAGCACGTGGAAGCTGATCAGCAATAGTGTCAACCATGTGTGGTGGGACGTCTTGACTCTTGATCTGCATTATATAATTGATCCGAGCAGTAACAGTCAAAGTCAAAGTCCTCGAAAATGAAAGTCAAACTCAGATAGTTAGACTCCCCTATCTGTAACCGTAAGCAGGATCAACAGCCCAGACATGTCGATAATGATGATCATCGCCTCGCAGGGCCTGCACGTTGCACTTTTCAGAGTACTCAGCCTTCGTATTCAGCACTACCTAGGTCCTAGACACTCCAGTCTAATTTCCAATAGTCCTGCCGCTAAAGTACCTGCGTAGTAGACTATCCAGACCCACCGATCAACGTGGATGCCGAATGTCAAATCGTCAATAAACTCCGTACGTCCATTGATCGACGGCGTCGTCGACCGACTTTCCTCTCCTGTCAAGTGTCATTCAACGGCAGTCGGCAGTCAGCACTCAGCATTCAGCAATCCCGGCTGCATGCGTGCGTGCGACTCTTGCTGCGTCATGCAGACAAGGCTGCCAGCTCAGCCTAGTTTATCCTTGTTTGTCTCCGCCGGTTCTGATTATGATCGGCGCTGACGAGCCTGGTCATGCATACTCAGAGTGTCCTCTACAACCAGGATCTACCATGATTATAGTGGAGATGCAAAGAAGTTTTACATTCCGAAGCAGTGCCCTGGATATAACCATCCCCACCCGCGTCGCCAAGATGAATGGGTAGGTCTCGTTGAGGGGAGGGCCTCCAATAATGTCCTCAAGCAGTGGCAATGAGGAAGTGAGGGAGGGAGTAGAGGACGAGATGGAGATGGAGTGACCCAAGCGAGGGTAGTGAAGTTATTTAAAAGACATTACATTATATGACTCTGGGCTCTCTTGAAATCCACTTTGATGTTACAGAAGCTTAAACAGATTTGGTCGATTTCATATAAGGAACGTACTTCACCGAGCTGGGAATCAAGAAGGAATCAAATCAAGAAATAAGTGATATGGTCCTCCGGCTGAACTTCACGATCCTAATGGTACAGCAAGGATATGGAACAGAAAGAATTAGAATTAGGATTAGTTATGTACAGGACTATTGCACCATTTCTCCCATTTCCATCGTTTCATAACTTGTAACTGGTCTTATCGAGCAAGAGATTAAATCTAGTAGTCGCAGACAGCAACGCTGACGGTGGTGGTGACGGTGATCACCTTGGGACCCTTGGAAGGCACCGCGGTAGGAGCAGCGGTGATGGCCGCAGCACCGCTAGAAACGGACTCGGTCTTGGTAGCAACGGGGACGACAGTCTCGGAACCGGACTCCTCGCAGTCGCAGGGAGTCTCCGAGGCCTCGGGAGCCGAGGGAACGGAGGCGCTGGGGGCGCCAGTGGGGGAAGCACCAGAGGGAACGGAACCAGCCTCCGTGCTAGTAGCGACGGGGACAACGGTCTCGGACTCGCAAGGGGTCTCGGAGGCCTCGGGAGCGGAAGGCACGGAGGCGCTGGCGGCGCCAGTGGGAGAAGCACCGGAGGGAACAGGGACAGTCTCAGTGTTGGTGGCAACTGGGATCACGGTCTCAGAGGTGAGAGTGTCGCAAGGAGTCTCGGAAGCCTCGGGAACGGTGGGAACAGTGCCACTGGAAGCTTCGGTAGGGGAAGCACCAGAGGGAGAAGGAGCAGCCTCAGTGTTTGTGGCGACAGGAACGACAGTCTCAGAGACAGAGGTCTCGCAAGGGGTCTCTGAGGCCTCGGGGCCGGAGGGAACGGAGCCGCTGGGGACGACGGGGACAGGTACGCTGGAGGCACCAGTAGGGGAAGCACCGTTGGGGAGGGAGACGCTGGGGACGGAGCCGGAGGGAACAGAGCCGCTGGGAATGCTGGAAGCAGTGGGCACAGCAGGAACAGAAGGCACACCGGTGACAGAGACAGCAGGAGTCGAAGGAAGGCTGGGAACACCGGTGCTGCTAGGGCCAGCGGCGGTAGAGGTGAAGCTGGAGCCGCTAGGGAGGTGGCCACAGCCGGTAAGCCATCCGATGAGGATAATTTCAATGCTGGAGTCGATCTCGATGCCGGCAGCACCACCAAGGACAGCAGCGAGCTGGGCACGAGCATCAAGAGACAGGGAGGCCATGCTCTCGCCGGAGATGAGGATAGAAACAACGCCGCGGAGGACAGCGCCGAGAGTAACCTCGATGGTGCCAGTGATGAAGGAAGTCAGCTCGCCAAGGAGGCCAGTGGACACGCTGACGGAGACATCGGCCTCAAGAGCGAATGAAAGCCAGAACAGAACAACAGCCTTGAGCTCAGCGCCGAGCGAGCAGCTCGAGCCGGTGAGCCAGGCGACGAGAGCGGTACGAACTTCAACATCAAGGGAGACGGCGACACCGCCCTTGGCGCAAGCCTCAAGGGCAGCCTGAACGTGAGCACCAAGACCAGCAGAAATGTCAGCTTCGAGGAAGGCGGCGAGAGAAGCTTGAGCGCTGGCGGAGAGAATGCCAGTCTCCTCAACAAGGGCGGCGATGGAAGCACCGGCGGAAATGGTTGCCAGACCACCGCTGGGCAGGGAACCAATGGCAATGACGTCGGCGCCAGTCTTACCCTCCAACCAAGCCAGAACGGCAACCTTCAGAGAAGCGGACAGGCTGCATTCAGAGCTGGCGAGCCAGACCTTCAGGGCGGCCTGAACATCGGCAGCCAGGTCGACGAAGACACCGCCGCCAGCGCAAAGGCCGAGACCAGCCCTAACCTTGGCGTCGAGGGCGGCACCGACGGACCCAGAGAGGAATGCAGACAGAGAAGCTTGGGCGGAAGCGCTCAGAACAACATCCACGGCGACCTCGGTGGAGGAGAAGATACCCTCAATGGTAACAAAGAGGTCGCCCTTGGCGGCGATGTCAGCGCAAGTGGGGATCAGCACTGAAAGTCCGGCGCAGACGTCCACGGAAAGGGTGACGGAGGCGTCACCTTCACACCACTCGAGAAGGGATGCCTTGATGGACGCATCGAGCTCGGCGGCGGCCTCAGCACGGAGCCAGGCGGCCAGTTCCGCCCTGGCGGCGGCATGGATGGCACCAGCCTTGCAACCCAGCGCACCTCCCTGCAGGGCTGCGGCTGCCTGAGCACTCAGACCAGCAAGGAGGGTGGTTGCGCTTGCATGTCCACCAAGAATAGCGCTGATGATCCCGCTCAAATCGAGACCACCATCGATCGAAATACCTGCGCCAATGGAAAGATCACCGATTTCGACATCCCCGCCCAGCTTCAGGTGGCGGCTCTCCAGGTCGGTGGGAAGAGCGAGAACGTAGCTCGCCAGACTGGCGAGCAGGAAAAGGTTGTTGGAACGCATTGTGTGAGCGTAAAGTGAGATGCTAACGAGTGTCTCGGTAGGTATAGGATGTATCCCAAGAGAATGACGGGCTACGAATAGCCGAATTGGATAATGACAGACTGTTCAAAAAATGTGACAATGAAAAGAAAGACCGAAAACAAAAAAAACGGAAAAGATTGAAGCGATTGAGGATGAGTTGATGATCAAGCACAGAGGTGATCATCGTCCAGGTATATATACCCCTGGGGACTGCAGTATGGACGGCCATGATGTAGATAGAGACTAGAGAGCACTCCCCGGTCTATTGCACGACTGGCGGACCACCAGCAGCGCCACCCTTGTCTAGCGTTGGTGCTAAACTAGCCAAGATTCACAACAGGGCAGGGGGCCAGGGGACTAGGATTACTATTAGGAAGGAGGAGCCGTTTAGCACTAGCGGAGCCTGTGTCTTTGACTCTTTGTGATCGAGGACCCGGATCTTCAAGGTGCTCAGCGAAGTGGATCGTTGGCTGCCAGTGAAATGGCAAATGGGGTCGCACTATCTTCAAATTGTGGAAACATCCGAAACAAACGACTGAGAATACTATTTCAGGTAACATGGTATCTATGCCGACCTGCCCTCCAACGGCACAGGAAGAATCGGAAAGATCGATAGCCAGATACCCGAAAATTGGGCGAGCTGCCAGTGCGTAGCAAGGGACTCGCAGAGCACATGAGTGAAGTGTAAGTTTCAGACGATCATGTGTCTCTTGTCCGAGAAAGCGTAAATTCGATGGATCGATACCTTAAGCTGTAGTGAGAAGGTCCATTCGTAGGGAGAAACAACATAGTCAAAGCCACCGAACGCATAGTACGGTGAACCATCAATAATGCCAAGAGAGATCACATAGCCTGAGACTGAGAGGAAGACAGTGATACCTAAAGAACGGGGGATTTTCTTTCAAGCTCGTGCGTGCGCCGTTCAAGGAATTCGGTCCAGAAAGCAGTTATCCCGTGATCGACTACAGTCAAGTTGTAAACAGCAATGATCGCAATTGATACTGCGAATCAGGTAGCATGTTCATTGATTTTTGCGGAACCGTTAGGCATAGGCTAGGCTGCCAACCATGCTTCCGTTTAAGGACGCAGCGAGAGCCAATCGCAAGTCGCCAGGAACTTATTTCGACTCCTGAAACTGAAAGTCCTGATAGTAAAACGGTAAATAAATACTAGACTGTTGGAAAAAGGATAACCGCGGGACCGCGTTCGTTGCCGAGTCCAACCATGGACGATCACAACAACCGGTGTTTTGCCCCAAGCTGCTAGCGGCTTTCCCTGAGTAGTAATGCATGTTGTAAACTATGAAATTAGTACGTCGTTAGTATCAGGAGTGGATGTATGATGAAACCGTCCAATGCGGGAAAGCTTAAGCCTCCTGCCTTTCCCTTTCTTTGGGGAGGAAGATAAACAGAAAAAAAAAAGTCTAAAGGTGAGGAATGGCCATTTCTTGGGACAAGGTACAAAGAACCTCCCCGAAGATACGGAGTACTGTAGTTGGAAAACATAAAGTGAGACTTTTTTTGGAATTCATTGTTGACTGATCGACTTTCGGGACCAGCGGGCCTAGCATGCACGTAGAAATCTTTTCCGACGCGCGGGAATCTGGATCGCATGAAGGCATTACGGATACTGGCGACAAGTAAGGGCTGAAGATGGCAAACTCGATTATGTTCAGAGTGCCTTGAAGTTTTCGCCCACCGAAAGCATTGAAGACAGGACTGGGTAGCACCGTAGTATCGCATAGCTGAGATTGTTCGATCTATCATCTCTGTACTGTGGATGTGGTTGTTTAGATGTTGAAGTCTGATGTGGTCGCAGCAGGCTCTGGACCAGTCGCTGATGGCCTGATAAGTCGATCAGCAGCCAGGGCGCAAATCTAGACTCTCGGGAGGTCGGAAAAATGAAGGATGCCTAGTGCATAGTGCAGGTCAGCGCAGCTTGTCAGGGGATGGATGGCTGGATGCAGGTGAAGGTATCACAAAGTGACAGAAGAACTGCTGGGAGCTCGGAAAGTGTCCACGAACTTGGCAACTTCTGGCGATTGCGAGTACGTACGGAGTAGTATCTAGATAGTTAGTCAGGGACAAAGAACTGAGGCGCATCCGGCTAGCCACTTTGGCACTTAGCTTCTGCTCAGGCCAGTCGGAACTAGCACATCGACTGGCGAATAGTGGATACTCCGTACCCGTAGTCGCCAACAAAGTAGTATCTTGTTAGTCAGTCATATTCTCGACTATGTGTACTGTCAAGGAACCCAAGCGCAAGGCTCGAGTGCAGCTGGCTAAGAGAGGCTCAAAATGAGAAGACACTACTTCACTGAATCAAATAGATTAATGGTCAAGAATAGTAGTGGACGATACCATGTTGGGAGATCGTTGCCCGAACAGGCGTTCCTGGACCAAAGTCCCTGTAACCTTGGTTCCTGAGGCCTCCACCCAGGAGTCCACCGGGAGTGGTCCATCCGGCTTGGGGCCGCACTGCGGCACTGTAAGGTAAGGATTTAGGATGGACTGATGGAGCCACCAGGAGAAAGTTTGACCCCGTAAAATCCCTCCTCCAGCAATAGCATCATCAGATAAAAATAACTGATGCATTGGAGAGAGAATGTGATTTCAATCGGTCAAATAGGGAAACCAAGATCAGAATTTGACCTTCTGAAACAGCCATGAATGCTTGAGATCACATCATGGTTTCATCGTCGCTGGAAGTGTCTCTGGATGAAACCTAGGGCCTTTGGAGAACCAGGGGCAGCACAAGAGAACTATTAGCCAAGGCTAGACGGATAGTTCGGCGATAATGCTCTTCTCTATTGAATTCGGGCATCAACTGCCTGCTTGTGAACATGGCCGGGAGAAAGGAAAAGCGAAGGGGAACGGGGAATACCGCGGCCCAGGTCGGTCGACGTCAGGTGACTAGTCAGAAGAGCATGTGCCATGACGAGATCATTCAATTGCTAGCAAGAGTCTAGGTACTCATCTAGGTGTCTTCAGTAGAGCAAACTAGAAGAACAGATAGGACAGTGATGCCTTTCTTTTTTGCTGTACGCATAGTTGCTGACTGTATTATCCTTAAAGTTGATAGACGATGATCCTTGTGCTCGACACATCTTAGTGCGGAAGTCAATTGAGTATGAATCTATGACTCCGTAGATCAGATGCAAGCCATATTCATTTAGAATTGAGGACATGTTTCAGTCTTTCAGAGCTTGATGCTCGATGTCTGATGTTTAGTGAGCCTTTGATGACGCTCCTCTCGGCACAAGAATTATATACTTGCGGATCGGGCAATCACCAGCTATTGAAGGCTTCGGCAGCAGTAAGCTGGCAATGATATCCTGCAGCCGAGCCACACACTTGCACTCCATGTCGCACATTATGGCTTTCCAATTAATTTTGATATTCTGACTCCGTAGTTCATCCATCTCGTGATGGATCATCAGTCTGCTCTGTTGTTGTTTCTGATTGCCCCGGCAACAATGTATGCACACCACGTGACGTCCGCCGAGTCCCCAGCCACCCGCGATGTTTGTCATGACCGAGAACCAGAAACAACAGCACTCCGACAAGCAACACAACAATCACGAAACGATCCGCCCCCGCCATTGGGGCATCCGATGACTTTTGGGAAAATTGGGATAGGCGCATTGGTTGACACGTCTATGTAGGATTTATTGATCGAGCTGAGAAATGTTATGATGGCCTCTCCGAATTCTCTTTCCTCCGCATATACTAGTGGCCTGCATCGACAACCATCGCTCCGGCAAATGTCTCGTTCTACACTTTCTCGCTCCAATTCTAGACGCACTTCACCGGCACTCGACTATCATCCAACGTCGCGCAATGAAGGAGTGTCGATTCCCCGGCAGTATTCAGCCGGCGACAGCTCCGATGATGAGGTTCCGGAGCCCAAGTTCAGCGCTTCTGTCAAGGCTCTCCTCGACGAGGACGGATTAGGCTCCTCCCCTCATCTCAAATATAGCAGCCACGAGCGTCCGTCTTCAGCTGAACGCGCGATGTCGGCTGCGACGAGTCAATCAAGGCAGTCCCGAACTTCGTCGCCCCTTGATCGATCAACCGGAAGCCCCGCTCCTCGGGTAGTGCGCATAGCTCCAGCTCTCGCCAACAGCCACAGGCACGCGCGAGAAGGCTCTCCTCTCTCACAAAGTGAGAGCGTGGGTTACAGCGCAAATTATAACTCAAAAGATCTCATCACTCCGGCTCCCAGACCGCGCAGTGTTCGTATCACTGGGTCACGAAGTCATACGCGGTCGCCTACTTCGGTGTCTCCTTCCCAAAAGCGGTCTGCTGATAGGAGCTCCGTTAATGAACATTCAAGCGCAGATCGCTCGGAGAATGGGAGGACGATGAGTTACGAGGACGACTACGCCCCTCGATTTGGCACTGCATCTGTGCTTCGCTCTCGCCATGGGGAGGATGTGGGCATGCAGAGTTCCCTTCGCGTGAAAAGAGTCGGAAGGCTCACAGGGACATTTCTGAACGGACCTGCGAGAAGGGGCGTTCTGCGGCGGCAGAGCGAGGAGAACAATGACCCTCATAGCTCTTCCGCCGAACGACTTAGGGAATCGAGTCTCGATCCGAACCACGACAACGCCGAATATCACTACAAAGCTAAAGCAAGAACCTCATCATCGCCCAAGGTAACGTGGGCAGACCCCAGTCCGCCACAGGAAGCCGAGCGTCCTCGAGCATATGATCCCGCTAGTGCTTCCTCTGCGGAAGGCCCATTCTCCAGGTCTTCCTCGCCAAGATCATCCGGATCACACTCCAAATCAACACCTGGTTCAGCCTCGGAAATGTCCTCCAAGCCTTCAAGTGCTCAAGAGGAGCCTGTTTTCAAGGTCCCACCACTTCCTCAACTCCCAGCAGCCCGAGACCAAGAGAATGAGCCCCCACCAACTTTCAAACGCGATAAGCCCCAGGGCCTCACTCTACTAAGCAAACCGGAAAAGCTCTCTGTAGTCTACGGGGACGACAAGAAAGATAATGCAGAGACGCCAGCCGGAAATTCCCCTCGAAAGATTCTAGCAACACGGAGCAGCAATACTCCTCACCGGCCAGCTCCCCCTCCTCCGAAGATGTCGATGCTTGAGACTGCCACAGCGACGGGAGGAGCGGCTACGGCATCTCAATCTCGCAAAAAACGAAGCCAAGTCTCAGTCAACCATAAGCCATTCACGCGGCTGGATTGCATCGGACGCGGGGGAAGTTCTCGTGTCTACCGCGTCATGGCCGAAAACTATAAAATCTTTGCTCTGAAGAGAGTGAACCTCGAAGATGTCGACCCCGTGACTTTAGCTGGCTACAAGGGCGAGATCGACCTGTTGAAGAGGCTAGAAAATATTGATCGGGTTGTCCGTTTATTTGACTGGGAACTCAATTCGGACAAGCACACACTCAGCGTTCTGATGGAAATCGGAGAGTCTGATTTGGAGAAGATCCTGACGTACCGGTTGAATGCCGAGGATGCGGTCTTTGATATCAACTTCACACGCTATTACTGGAAGGAGATGCTTGAGTGCGTTCAGGCGGTCCACAATTGCAACATTGTGCATTCCGATCTGAAGCCCGCCAACTTCCTCCTCGTTCAGGGAAGGCTGAAGCTGATTGACTTTGGAATCGCCAACGCTATCCAGGATAACACGGTCAACGTGCATCGGGAGCAGCAAGTCGGCACACCCAATTACATGTCACCAGAAGCTTTGATCGACTCCAATGCCTCGCTTGGGCTGCCAGCCAGTGTTGGAAAGATGATGAAGCTCGGCAAGCCCAGTGATGTCTGGAGTCTCGGTTGTATCCTTTATAAAATGGTATATGGCCAACCGCCATTCGCCAAAATCGCCAAATATTACGAGCGCATCATGGCCATCCCCAATCCTAAAGTCCAGATTGACTTTCCCGCTTTTGGCGTTGGAGGAGTTGCAATACCGCCCGGGCTGATCCGTACCTTGAAACGCTGCCTGCAACGGGATCAGACCTTGCGACCGACGGTGGAAGAACTTCTCGGCCAGAGAGACCCATTCTTGTACCCTGACGCGCAACTGGAAGGCACTGTTCCAGTCAACCAGGATATGCTGGGCAGGATCCTCGTGAATGTGGTCAACCACTGCCGGACTCGGGGCATACCCAGAGACGAAGAAATAGCCGCATGGCCCGCTGGATTTTACGCGAAGATCAAGGCGGCGCTAGAAGAAAATGCTTGATGACACTTGACTCGCCACGATTTCCTTTGTCTATTGCTTCGGTTGAAGATCTCCGTTCGTGATATCCTGGATGATCCGACGACACGGCGTCCAAGTTCAGGTCTGCTTTACTGGAATAGTTTCCTTTGTAACTCATTATTTTCTTGTACATATTTTTTGGAGCCATTTCCCCCTGGTATGGGAAGTTGGGTGTTTCTGTAATGCGCTTCAGCCTTGCATGTGTATGTGCCGTGACTCGTTGCATTGGGATGCTGTTGGGTCAGCAATGGTTTCTGGAGTTTGAGTATATGGAAATATATCTAATTTATTACCTATTGAGGCGGATTGCCTTATTCTTATTGTCTGCCGTTCTTCTATCGTTTTGGATAGTCTATCCTGGATGCTTCGACTGATATGATTCATTGCGGACTGTGATTTATCTGGTATGAAGCCGGCACAAAGTTAAGATCGATTGAGACTTCTTGATGGTTGAATTCGAGAAGAGCATTCAGGGGGCTTGACTAAGATGGAAAAATATACGACGTCCTGAGAATTAATCTACGGCCAATGCAGAGATCTGCTCATCGACACACTCGTGTATCTATTTCTACTGACTCGCAAAAACGCATGGATGAACTAGAAACTATACTTTTAGGAGTTGGAACCACAGTGCGCGCCTTGAACGCCTCCCACGAATATAGACTGCTGAATTGAAGAAAATGCCAATGACAAAGCGGACTTCTGCAACGGAACTGGTATCAAGGTGCGGTGGGCTGCTTGGTGAATGAGATTAAACCAGGAGGACTCTGAACATGAATATTAGTATGACTCTGTCGGGGAGATGGATTGGGTAAGGGGGCCACATACGCATTGACTGTCCCGTCGTTCTCGGGAGTATTGGTGATCTGCGCATATTTACCCCATACGACCTTTCCGCTTGTCGTAACGAGACCCAATTCGGAGACATTGACTTCGATGATGGTTCCCTTGGTTAGGACACCCAGTTGGGTGTAGAGGGGGTTCTGGGGGTTCTTCTTGACGCCCAGGATGGGCAGTTGCACGGTGACTCCGAGCTCAGGGCTGATAGATTGTCAGTCGATCCGAAATGCAAGAGACAGATGGAAGGAAGATAGCATACTGTGTGACGTTGGCCTTCTTGTAACGCAGACCCATCGGCCTGATGAAACGCTCGTACTTGACCGGTCGCCGGGTGAAGTCGCTACCGACAAACGTGGGCTTGGTGATCATCCGCTTCCACGACTTCTTGTGCGTCTTCTTGCCCGTGTTGACGACCTTGAACATCTCCTCCTCACTGATACCCTTCACCTTGGGCAGGGGCACAGCGAACTTGGCCGCCTTCTCAGCCCGCTTGTCCTTGATAGCACTCGACAAGGCCTTGGCGTTGGTCGCCTGCGAACGGTCGAGCAGGTACTGGGGCAGGGGGGTCTTGGAAGGCTCGTCGGGCGCCGAGGACTTGACGTTCTTCTCCTCCTGTGCCTTGATGCGCTTGCGCATCTGGATCTTCTCGGCATGGCGCTTCTGCTGGTACAGCTTGGCCCGCAGACCGCGCAGGTTCTGGGCATCCTGGGACTGTTTGTGCGATTCACGGGCCTGGCGCTTGCGGACGCGCTCGTCGTGGTCGAGTCGCTTACCGTGCTGCTTTTGCCAGCGCTCGATGTACCTGCGGTTCTGTTAGAATGTGGATTGACCACAGCTGGAGTCGAGAGGGGTAGACGAACTCGTTCTGAGGCTGTATTTCAAAAGCAGTTAGTACCGGTTCAGTATTTTTTCAACCGTGAGAAATCTGCAAGTGGCCTCCATGGAGCAGCCAATGCATGATTTTGAGGGTTGTAACAGGACCACATACCATGATGGATGTATTAAAGGCAAAAATCTACTGACAAGCGATGTTGATGGTCTCCTCCTGGCCGAGACTGACACAAAAAAGTTGTTCTGCGGGCGATGCAAGTTCGATATCGATAAGTCACGTGATATTCTTATCGGTTGAAATTTCGTTGACACTCTGACTGCCGACAAAATGACTTCCCACAGTGAGGAAATTCTTAATTAAAGTCATCGACACATTGATTCAAGGACTGAGTAAGAGATTTCAAACAGAGCAACCCTAGTTTGACTGGAATTATGAACTTGATCCCGTCCTTGCTATCGAGTCAATAATATCACGTGCCACTACGGAAAGCGAGGCGGCCACATCCGCCATTCGCTGGAATTTCTCGACTCCAAAACCGCCAACACCGACGGACATCGACAACCAGCCCAGCCCAGCATCCCAGCGTCCATTGAGTCTCATCCTCGCTTGGGAGGAACGCAGACAGCTACAAGGCCGTTCGATTCCAATTGAAGCAGACGGCCAATACCCGCTTCACCATGTTCTCCCGAACAACGCTCGCAAGAGCCTTCGCCCTACCCTGGGAGCAGCAGCACAACCCACTCCTGCGCCCCAGCTTCCGCGCCTGCCTTCACCAAGCCACGAACACAAGCAGCAGCAGCAGCAGCACATTACGCCCCGAGAGCCCACTCGGCGCAACACCACGGGCCCAATCGTCCACGCCCACCGCACAAACTCAATCCCAACCCTCACAGGATCAAGCATCAGCACCCCTGCGCCTCACCAAATCCCTCCTCGAGAAACTCCCCCACCTCACCTCCCAAAAACCGCACTACATCACCGCGCACCTCCACGCGAAACCCTACCTCCTGACCGCAGGCGACCACCTCCGCCTGCCGTTCCTCATGCGGGACGTGAAACCGGGCGATATCCTCCGCTTCAACCGGGCCTCTGTGCTCGGTTCGCGCGACTTCACGCTCAAGGGGGCGCCGTATATCGATGAGCGGCTGTTTGAGTGCCGGGTAAGGGTTATGGGCGTGGATGCGGAGCCGTTGCGGGTGAAGGAGAAGACGAAGCGGAGACAGCGGCATGTGCGGAAGGTCAAGAGCAAGCACAAGTACACGCTTTTGCGGGTGATGGATGTCAAGGTCAAGACGACGGAGGAGCTGCTTGAAGAAGGGGCGGTGGTTGTCGAGGGGGAGGATGTGCCGAAGATGGAGGCTAATGCTTAAATGCGGTTCTTGGGGATGTTGGAAGGGAAGAGAGGAGAGTTCAGGGAAAATTGGGCTGATTGGCATATGGGGCTGTCAAAGGGTATGCTATGTATTGTTATTTGCCCTATATCCACTGATGGGCATGCTATGTACAGATAGATCTGACTGCACATGGACTCGTGCATTGTATTCTATATTGCAACTGATGTTGATTGCTTCTCGGTATTCTCCTACACAAGGTTACTCTTGGACAGGTTGAAATATTGACGTTGATACGGATAGTGATGTATAACTGAGGGAAACACTGAAACAACACTATCTTCCAGCCAGTATGTCGTCTGCAATCTTCTCCGCAAGAGCATACACCACCGCCTGCGGGTGTCCCGGCGTTATGAACGGAAAACTACTGGCGTCAACAACTCGCAGGTTTCGTACTCCGAAGACACGAGCGGTATTATCCAGGACCGCCAACGGGTCCTCTTCTCGTCCCATCTTACAACTGCTAGCCACATGATACACAGGCATCACACTTTTGGCCAGGTACTCGCGGATCTGCGAGTCCGTCTGGACCTGCTCTCCTGGGTACGCCTCATGTGAATCAGCGATACCCATTTCAACGCTCATGCCAAATCCGACGCTGACGCTTGAAGGACTGAATCGCCAGGTCCACATCCGTGGGGTCAACAAGCCATTGCGGGTCAATGATGGGCGGCGTGTTCATACTCGCATCTGCCAGCGTCACGGTTCCACGGGAGAACGGCGCAACGAGGGCCGTCGCGATGGTGGCGTAGTTGTGTCCATCGAGCGGATCGCCGGCTATGTAGTTGGACCCGTCGCCGACCCAGGCATTCAGCGGCAGCCATTCGATCTCCGGCCAGTCGCTCGGGACACCGGACAATGCCTGGATGGAGTCGTCGGAGAGCCGGGAGCGGTACGGGTCGGGCAGCTTCTCGAAACCGTAGTATCCGGAGCCGAAGATGGACAGCGGGCCTGTGGCGTTTGCGAGGTACTGCTCTGCAAGCAGGGCAGCCAGGGCTGGATCGTTGCCCGCTGCGGACGATGTGAGGACGTTGACTCGATGCGCGGAGCCGAAGAAGGTGTGGTCTTGCAAGTTCTGGCCCACGCCGGGCAGGTCGTGGATGCAATCGATGCCGAACTTCGAGCAGGGTCCAACGCCGGATACCATGAGCAACTGGGGAGACTGAAAGGCACCTGCAGATACAATGACCTCCTTGCGAGCATTCAAAGTGTAATTGACCGGTGCTGTCCCGAACGTCCCTGCGGTTGAGACCTGGACACCGGTTGCACCCTTGTTCGAGTCAAACAGGATTCTCTGCGCCATGGCGTTGATGTAGATCGTAGGAGCCGAGCCGCTGCTGATTGCCTCCTGCAGAAAACTCGACTCGGACGAGGAGCGCTGTGCATTCCTGGGATTGATCGTGGAGCTCCCATATGCAGCGCCTAGCAGCTTGCCGCTGTTCAGGCCATCGATCTGCTCCATGCCCACAGCAGTGAAGGCCCTCTGGGCCCAAGTACCAAAGGCATCAACACTATTGCCAAAAGAAACCTCTAGGGGACCCCCAGAAGGATCAAACGCATCCGGAGTCTGCGTATTAGTGGTATTGACATACAGACTCCGGTCCGGAGGCGTATAGTGACACGACCTCTTAAAGAACGGAAGCATCTTGTCGAAAGCATAGCTCTCGTCACCCACCTCATCCGCCCATCTCTGCATGCTGTCTGCCGTGGGCCGATGATAGAACATGAAATTCCGAGCAGAGCTACCTCCGAGCGTCTTGCCTCGGGGATAATGTGCGGTGCGATTGCCTGCCCCAGGTTGGGGGCTTGTTACGAACCCCCAGTCGATTAGCGGCTGGTAATCCTCCGGGTCTAACCCTGCATAGTATGGCCCGTAGCCAGGTACGACTGATTTATTCCCATTGTCGATCTCGTAGAAGCTTCCGGCCTCGACGACCGCGACGCTCACGGATCGGTTCTGGGCGAGTCTGCTGGCGACGGTCAGGCCGGCATTCCCACCTCCGACGATCACATAGTCAAAAGTTGCGTTGGCTCCTGGTGTCCCAAAGAAGTTTCCTAGCAGAGGGCCTTTTTGTCCGTAGGAGAGGAGGTTAGGCTTCGAAGCTAGATCTGCTGCCGCCACCAGGCTGGGGAGGAGCGGGTAAAAGACACGCATATCTTCTGCTGATGCTGAGTCGCTGACAGGAAGGCCTCCTTCATTGACCTCATTCAAGCTTAAGTACAGAGTATTTATGGTTGTTGTGGTTGCAGAAAGAATGTGACCAAGCACAGAGTAGGCGGCTAAGAGCATCGTTTTGTAGAGGCTACCACCCAACTGTGTGTTTATGGATTGAGAACACCATCGAACTCGCCATTGTGAGTCATACTGGTAGTAATATAGCAGCAGATGGAAGCCCCCCGCGTCTTGGTGCAATGAACTGCAGGTGCACCGAGCATGTTTGCTGGATGAACAGCTAGGCTGCATCTAAAGCGTGATCTCACATCAGCTCAAATGCAGCAAGGATTACACCGATCTTGGGAGCAATTCCCCCCGCGGGAAAGATGTTGATAGAATTTGAAAAGGGGGCAGGTAGTTATCGCAGTATTTGACCTTTGTGACAGAAATATCGATCTCGAAAAATGTACTTGAACAATGACACTGACTCCCTCAAGAATGCAGAAAGATTGCGGAGATTCCAGAAGTATCACATTGTATCCCAGCTTGGGAGACTATCTTACGATGACACTGATAATATGTACTGCCTGCAGCTGGTGAGATTCACTTACTATGAGGTGCAATTTATTAAGTCCACATTATAAGCAGTGACTCCCAATCCTGCAACTTGTACATCATACAGCTCCTTGGAAGATGCCCTGACAGACGATGACAACATCCTCCATCAATCAAATTATCCCCTGTAACAGAAAGAATGTTTCTTTTATCTCCTGACGCATAGAACGGACATTGACAAGATGGTATCCTTTCATCTCCGCACAAAACATTGCCAGGTAGCTATAATGCGTATATCCTCGTTCACGTCAACCCGCCATCGAGGAATGCGTTCTGGTGCGGATTCCTCTACCCTCAAGTTAGCAGAGGCAGATAATCCTGGAAATGTGGATGAAAAACTGCGTTGTGAAGCAGTGACCTCTATCTGGATTGCGAGAATCGCCCTGCGGTTCCCGTTCCAGATCTCTATGGCTTTGCTTTTCTGATGGGCAGACTGTACGTACTCAAACAAGGAGAGCTTCATCAGGGGAGTTATCAGAGATAAGGTTCGTTTGACGAGGAGATTTGGACAAGTTGATCATATAATGATTGCAGAGGCAAGCTCCAGTTGACCTCCTCTACTAAGTGAAGTCGTCATGTTCAATATCAATTGAACAGTCTACTGGAGCGGTTTATTAGCCATGCCAATGCCATATAACATTGCGGTAAGCATTCCCTTAAGGAGAAGACATCTGAAAAGAACAACAACATCATCAACCTTTGACTCCTACGAAAAGAAAATGATTCGCTAGAAATGTGCGATCAGAAACACTGTCAGTCCTCAATCGATCCAACCCCCAACTGCTGGCGACAACTCTCCAAACTCTCTTGCTGGATCTGCTCGTACAGATAAAACTCGTCCCGCACAGGAGCCCCCAGCATTCGTTGAAATCCGTCTAGATCAGTGTCAGCCTCCATTATAAGCTGCCTAGACTGTGATGTCTCCGCCAAGTTCGAATTGAAAATGCCCCCGGCGGATAACGGCAGGAAGTCCTCGTACGTGATGGGCTCGTAGTCGAGGACATTTGCCTTCAACAGCTGCGACAGGGAAACAACCTTCATGCCCTGATAAGCCCTCGTCGAGGCATGTGGTGCCACTCGATAGCTGAAGAAGGCCAGTTTCTGCGCCTGAAGCTGCGCCAGGTCATCAGGAAACTCTTCGAAGCGTTTTTTCAGGATCGTCTCGTACTCCACCGAGCCAGCCGACTGCTCCGTCGCTTCGCGGTTGACCCGAGCAAGAATCTGATCGTACAGCTGGCGCCCCTTCCGCGTCAAGGCATACCCCCGCTGCTCGACCTCGCCGAACCGGGCCGTATGCGAGCCCTTCACGTACTCGTTCCGCGCGTCGCGAAAGTACACCGTCTCCTCCAGCGCCTTGAAGCTCGTCTGACGCAGCAGGACGGGATTCGCGCGCCGCGGCGGCCCCTCGATGCGTTCCTTGGCTGGCATCCCACGCTCCCACATCATCCTCTGCACGCGATCGATATCGATCGTCCGCGGCGTAAGGTGGTTGATGTGGCAGCTGGGAAAGGAGACGATATCCGCGATGAGCGGATGCTCCGCCTTGAGGATCTGATACTCCTCCAGCGTGACCGTCGCCCTGGAATGCCACCGGAAGGTCTCCAGCCCCTCGACGATGAACTCATCGCACTCCTCAACGCTCAGCATCCCCTCCCTCTCCGCCAAATCAAGAAGCTCCATCAACCGAGGGCTGAAAATATCCCGCTGCGCAAGCGCCCGCCGCGCCAACGCCCTCGTCCGCTCCGTCAACAACTCCATCCGCAGCACGGTCGTGAACACCCGAAACGGATGCCTGGCCAGGGCCTCGCGCGTGCGCGGCCGGAACGCCGTCGCGTGCATGGGGAACCCGGCCATGCTCAGATCATAGTACCCCACGGGGGCCATGCCCATGACGGCGAACATGCGGCGGATGGTGGAGAGTTCGCGCTGGGTGCCGAGACGGATGGCGCCGTGGCGTTCGAGACGCGGTTCCTTGCGGGGAGGACCTCATCTGGGTCGATCGCGGCGTCGCCGAGCTGCTGGCTGGTCTGGAGGGCTGCCGCGTCGGCTTTCCAGACGAGGTCGACGAGGTCCCCGTACAGGGGGACTTCGGCTTTGTACATTTCCGAGAGGGCATGGCAGAAGCGGGCACGAAGGCTGTCTTGGTCCCAGGTCATTGTGCTAGCTTTTAGGTATCTCAAGCTGACAGAAAGCACGTAAGGACAAAGGACGGTCTATATCCATATCAAGATCATCCGATAACACCTCGGAGACGTTGGCCTATATACACAGGCACAAGCTCCGTCGTCCTGATACGCTCACATATCATCTGTTCTCCTCATCATCGACAGACTTCCTCATTGCCGTGCATATCCGTCCCCGGATCTCTATCCGACGGATCACGGATGTCACCCGACCAGGCCGTCTATCCTCGGTTTTAGGTAATAGGAAGAGAGGTTAAGTTGGAGCAAGCGGAGAAACGCGGAGTACGTCTGACGATGCTGCATGGACTATCGGTAGCTTCAAAAGATCAGTGATTTGTTAGTGTAGCAAATGTGGCAGCTATAGCTGGAAGTTAGCAGACTGTTAGCTCACTGAAGACACAACCTAGGGTTAGTATGAGCTAAATATAAATGAAGTAGGCGACCTGATTTATTAAAGAATGCTTAGATGAATAGCTGTTAGATCAAGCAATTCAAGCTAATTGATCCTGTCCAAAATCCAGCATTATTAATAGGGCTCTCCAGAAGCTTTAATTAACCTTAGATTTGCTCTTCTCTCAACAGTCTCATTCTTTCTTGCTGGCTAACTATACGGAAGCAAAAGTGACTTATAAGTAGCAGTACTGACTTCTTAAATAAGATTCCTGGCATGGTTTGCCCTTCATGAACAGTATTGTTCCCAGGAGTCACGGCTACAGCTGGAAGTGCTACTTATTCAAAAACTATGCCACTCGACTCCTGGAGTAACCGGCCGCCAACTGGGATCGAGCGATGGGTAAAGACATTTCCAGTTACAGAAATAGTCGAGACCTAGAGTAGTCAGAGTAGCACTGGAAGCAGGAGATTGCGCAAGCAGTAGAGGACAGTAACTCTGACAGTCTAACTGCATGCAAAACTATACAGGCCATTACATAGCATCACATCTACACCAGTAATGGCATAAGTATAACCAGCAATGCCTGAAGAGGACAAGTCCCTAGCACTGTTCCATCTTCTTCATCTTCTCCCTCTTCTCCCGCCTCTGCATCGATCGCGACTCCCAATGCCGAAGATCATTAGCAGACCGAACAGCCACTATCACCATAAAAAACCCAACAAAGAGCAACAACACAAGAACCAGAGCAAGGACCACCAGCATAACAAACCGCGCGAATTGCTGCGCCCATTGACAATTCTTTAACCTCCAGTCCCAGTAGTCCGTGGCCATTCGGGCCCAGGCGCGAAGAATCCAGTAGCCCTCTACCAACTGCATGGCGAGTAGGACGAGATGGAGGACGAGGTAGATGGTCACATCCGTAGCGGTTTTAATGCGAGGCTCAAGCCATCTTGTGAAGTCAACATCATTTTCTTTATCTTGTTCTTCTTTGCAAGAACCGATGGCATAGACCATCCAGGTAAGAATGATGAGGAGGAAGATCCAGAAAGGACCCGTGTGAAGGAGCCAGAGCACGAGGAATTGAAGGAGGGTGCAATCGGGGCAGTCCGAAGGAGTCATTTTGTTGAGACTTGTTTACTCCGCAATTAATTTAGACTGATAGACCTGTCGTACCAGGCCGCTGAAAAGCTATCTATGTGATGCCCGGGCTGTAAGGGGAGGAGAGAAAATGCATGTTGTGTCAAGTGATATGGAGTTTTAGGTCTCGACAGGGGTCTCCTTGACTAAGCACTAATTTATCCTTTAACGTAATCCACCACCGAGCCGATCACCCCTTTCGAATTCCACCAGACTTGATGTTTGAAACTATTCAAACAGCCACTATGCCACCAAAACCGCGTAAAACATCAAAAAACTTGGTGGAACAAGAGGGAAGGATTCTCTTAGCAATTTCTGCTTTAAAGATGAAATTTCTATTCGTCGCGCAGCTGCTGTCTTTGATGTTCCTTATACAACTCTCTACGGTCGAATCAATGGATGCAATTATCGGACTGAGAAGCGCGCCAATGGCCATAAAATGACTCTTAATGAAGAGGAATCACTCTTACAATGGATTCTTTCCATGAATCAGCGAGGATGCCCTCCTAGGCCTTCTCATGTGCATGAAATGGCCAATATCTTGCTTGCTCAGCGGAATCCTACCTCCCCTCCTACTATTGGAAAGAATTGGGTCACCAAGTTCATTAAGCGTCAGCCAGAGATCAAAAGCCAATATTCGCGGAGATATAATCACGAGCGAGCGAAATGCGAAGATCCAAAGGTGATCCAAGAATGGTTTCATCAGCTCCATGAGGTCATATCCCAGCACGGAATACTGGAGGATGATATCTTCAATTTCGATGAAACGGGCTTCGCAATGGGTCTGATTGCAACTACTAAGGTAGTTACTAGATCTAATATGCCTGGGAAACCTCATTTTTTACAGCCAGGTAATCGTGAGTGGGTTACAACGATTGAGTGTATCAATGCGAAGGGCTGGTCTATCCCTACCTGTATAATCTTCAAAGGGAAGGTTCATATAGAGGGATGGTATCAAGACTATGCTTTACCATCTGATTGGCGGATTGAGGTCAGTCAGAATGGATGGACGACGGATGAGATAGGCCTTCGATGGCTTCAAAAAGTCTTTATTCCTGCAACAACGTCGCGTACAATTGGACGATATCGCTTGCTTATATTAGATGGTCATGGGAGCCATCTAACACCTGCTTTCGATAAAACATGCAGAGATAACGATATCGTGGCTATCTGTATGCCTGCCCATTCATCTCATCCCCTAGATGTGGGTTGTTTTGGTCCGTTAAAGCGCACTTAACGGGGGCCTCGTTGAGCAAAGGATGCGCTTAGGATACAACTCTATCGACAAATTAGACTTCCTCAAAGCATATCCAAAAGCTCATGGCGATGTGTTCAAGGCTGGGAATATCAAGAATGGCTTCCTAGCGGCTGGAATTGTTCCTTTTAATTCAGAAAGGATACTTAACCAGCTTCATATTCGCCTTGATACCCTTCCTGTTCTAGGGAGTCAGTCTTCAAATTCTACACTTGCAACACCTCATAATATCCGACAATTAGGCAAGCAAGCCTCCTCAATCAAGAAACTTCTTAAGCAAGGATCTCACAGCCCATCTTCGCCTTCAAAACGAGCACTAGAACAGCTTATCAAGGGCTGTGAGATTGCTCTGCACAGCGCAGCCCTTCTTGCAAAGGAGAATCACGATCTACGCTTAGCCAATGAGAAAGAGAAGCAGAAAAGGAAGCGATCCAGACGCCAGATGACTCCTAATGAAGGACTCTGTATACAGGAAGCTAGGGATCTTATCCAGGCGAGAAACGAGCAAGGTAATGAGGTTGGGGGGTCATCCGTTGATTCCGCGCCTTTACCTTTAGAACCCCCAAAACGCGCTCCACCAAGGTGTTCTAATTGCTTTATTATCGGACATACTAGAGTTAGGTGCCCTACACGCTATACTAGCTAGTTTCAATGAAAAACGCGTTGTTTGGTTGTGTTGGATAGCTTCAAATTATCGAGTCTGGTGGAATTCGAAAGGGGTGATCGGCTCGGGGGGGTTGATCGGCTCGGTGGTGGATTACGTTAAGCAAGTGTCCTGGAATCCGATTGCTCCTGTAGGGTGCGCTGGTTTCGGAGAATGTATTTGCATAAAACTACACTCAGAGAAATACTGCAATAACAGTGAATGTGAACCATTAATTCGTGATCTATCCCAACCGCCGATCCAGTCTATATCCTGTTTCATCATAAGCTAGCATACAGAGAAATAATCATCAAACAAGTTATAATCGGTCCAGAGCAATTGAATCATCCAGTCATCCATCCGGGGAATCATTCGTAAATCCAGATCCAGGTTGAGCAAGTCAGGCGGTTGATTTGAGATCCGCCGCAGGTAAAAAGCGGTTGAAAGGTCGTTAGGCATAATGTGATGTAATGTAGATGATATGTGCAAGAAAAATATGGAGAATGTGAAGAATGTGAAGAAAGGGAGGTTACAACGGAGGAACTGAAGCATCCTGGACACTTTCGTCGCTGACCGAAGTAGCCGGAGAGGCCAGTCCCGAGATGACGGACGAGGCGCCGCCGCGCGCGCTGTCCTGCGTGTGGTCCATTTCGAGCATCGACTCGTCCAGCTGCGTAGCGGAGGGCAGACGAGCGTTGTTGATGGTCGGTTTGGCGGCGCTGGTCATCAGCTCGTCGATGCCCGGTTTGCCGGGGACGTGGTGGTCGAGGTTGGAGGCGTTGTCGAGGCTGTCCAGGGCGAAATCGAGGAACTCCGCGTCCTTGCGGCTGACGCTCAGCGTCCAGCGGTACTCGCAGAGGCGAAGGCGGTAGAACTCGGCCTCCTCCTTGGTGGGTGCGGTGATGCGCAGGAGGACGCCGAAGGAGCCGATGAGGGAGAAGTTGGTGCGGGAGGCGGCGGGCCAGAACGAGCGGAGGTGGGGCTGGCGGAGCCGGTTGACAAAGTCCATGGCGGAGATGAGGCGCGTTTTGGCGGCAGAGCGGCAGATGTGGGAGAGGTAGGCGTCGGCCGTGTCCGGGGAGAGGGACCGGATGATGCAGCGGTGGAGGGTGATTTCGGTTGCAAAATAGGAGAGGTGCAGTGGGCCGTTGCGGGCGGTGGCTTCGGTGACGGTGTCGAAGAGGTCGATGCTCGAGTCCATCTTCAGTTGCTGGGGCAGCGATGCAAACCATTCCTTCAGTCGGATCTGGGCCGGTTTGGCCCGTTCCAGGATCATGCGAGTCCGGTTGCCGCCGGCCGCTTTGAAGTCCTCAATCGCTTGGAGGGTGTAGAAACGGTCGAGGATGTCGGACAGGATGGTCGTCAGCGCCACCATGTGGCAGAAAAAGAGCGGACCGTGGCCGACGTCCGCGTCGTCCTGCTGCGCGTTGTCTGTGTGGAAGGCGTCGGCAAAATCCTGTTCTACCAAGTCCTTGACGGTCCAGTTGAAGGCGAAGATGTGGGACGGACGCCCGTGAACCAGCGCGGACCATTTGTCCTGCATATACAGAGCCCACGCCAGACGTTTTCGCAACCCCTTTTCCCAGGTCTCCATGTTCCAGCCGCTGCAGTCCTGGTGCAGCCCAAGCTCGAACCCGGCGGTAACCAGTTGCGCATTCAATGCATGGGTCGCGATGGTGGACTTCTCCATGAGAAGCAGTCCAGCTTGGATCGTCGAGATGGTCGCATGGGGCAAGGACTCGATGAGAAGTTTGAGCGCGGTGCTCTCGAGACGGCCAGCATCCGGGCGTCGCACCGACTGTGAGGCAGGGCCAATGTCCACAAACTTCAAAGCCAAAACATAAACAGCAGACAGCAAGAGCGGGGAAAGCCCTTGTCTGGTCCGATACGACTGACGAAAGGCATCTTCCATCAAGATAGGAAACACCGGGTGGATGCTCTCGAAATACTTCTCCACCAAGGTGGATCCATAGGGAGCAACCAGGCTCTCGATAGCATCGAGGGAGACGGACGGGGAGTCCGCGTGGGACGAGGTGTTGACGACACGCATAAAGGTACCGTCGTTACCGATCTTACGTACCCGGGCTGATGCAATGACTCCTTCGTCGTTCTGGTCGAGGGGAAGATGTTCGAGCAGGGCAGGCTCTAACTCAGTGGTCATGCCAATGTACTTGGCAGACTGGGACCAGTACCCCGATGGGATCAGGAGGTTGTGACCATTCACTGGTGAGCGGGAGACATCTGTTTTGGAAACTGGGGTGAGGGCTGCCGCTGGTTGTGGTTGTTGTTGTTGTTGTTGTTGTTGCCTGCCAAGGAGAGAGGAAGAAAGATTAGTGTTTATCTTGAAACATGCATGGGCATATCTTGATATGACGTCCGAAATCGGCATGGGGTAAGGTTCCCCACGAAGGAAAAAATAGATATTTGAACATCATCGTCATACCTCTTGATAGTTTCCACATCCTCTGGGGCGGGGTCCTCTAGTTTTCGCTTTTTATATTGCACGTCCGCCGTACCTGGACGACTGAGAGTGAAGGTACAGTCCTGACGATGGAAGTCGCACGAGTAGCATTTATTGACCATTTCGTTCATGGCGCACCGGCTCTTTCTACGCAAACAGGCGTCACAACTTGACCCATCCCGACCAGGGGCTGGCAGACGGGGCAATGATCCAATGGAGGCAGAGGAGGGCGAGATAGGCGCAGGAGTCGAGCTAGCCTGCTGCTGTTGAGAACGGGGTCGGAGAAGGTGGTGGTCTGAGGAGTGAGGCTGCTGGAAGGGAGCTGCAGACGTAGCCGCAGGGCCAGCCGTCGTGGACGACTGGAGAGTGATAACGGCAGCCATTCACTGTGGAGAAATTCTCAGGCACAGTGAGGGGGAATGAGAAAAGAGGGAAGGATCCCGATAGTGAAGACGTAGATAGAAAATGGAGATAGCAGATAGATAGATAGATAGATAAGAGATATTGTGTAGAAGATATTGTGCAGGTGGGATTATGCTCCCACACAGTCTCAAGGATAATTCAATTGGATTTGCTCTCGTAAACCGGGATGTCCGGAGACTCCAGGATGATGCTCCGCAAGAAGAGAAGCTAGAGACTCTTGCTTGGACAAGGGTCCAGGAGAGAGGTGTTGTCGGGTTGGATGATCTTTCCGCAGGCACGAATAGCTTCAAACCCAATCCACCAACCAATGGCTGGGGATGCAGCCCAAATCGACAGGATTAGGAGCACGTACGAACCGCGGAGGAGAAGCTTATCAGTAGACACCAGACAGGTGAAAAGATGAGTCTAGATAGAGGTAGAAAGACTAGACTCGACAGTCGACACAAATGCGAGGTAGAAGAAATGTGCAGTCCGGAGATAGTAGTAATCAACTGTAAAAGGCGATATCGACCGGGGAGGCGGAGAGAGCGGAACCGGAGCAAAGAATCGATAACACCCCAGTTGGCTGGTTGATCTAACGATGATGATGATCTCAGATGTAGATAGTAAACGAGGATCGCTGTTGTTGATGACAATAGAAGATATGACGAATAGAAAAAGTAATGATGTGACTGGATATTGGTGTTTTATCTTCAACAACAGTGATGGGACTTTGCGAGCGACTGCAGCAGTATCAAATGCTTGATAGTCCGCTCTGTCATTCCGCGGAGGATGAAGCTGTTTCAACTCTATGACTTATAAATGATAGGATGACGATGATACAAACTGAGTAGGAGGAGAAGCTATGGATCTCTCAGGATACAGGATTGCAGCAGAGATTGAAGAAGAAAGCATCAGTATACCAGGAGTATATACATTTGTCTTGTCTCTCCATGCCTCGCAGTCGTATATACACTTTCCATCCGGACTTTCTGCCTTCCTCCGGTTCAGTTAAGATTGGATAACAGAAACATCATGATTCCAACGAGATCCGGCTCTCTCCATGCGATCAGCTCGGGAACGACGTTTCCCACACGTAACAGATTGCCTCTGCGCCGCTGCCCATTCCCCAATGATGACAATTGCCATTATATGATTGTTCCTGGGCTGTCGCATCTCTGCTGCTTTTGATGTTGCCTCCCGAGATAAGACATCTGCGCCTGATTGGGCCGGGGGCGAGGAACCTCCTTTAGATTACGTACTGGCAATTCCTCCTCGGTTAGTCAGCATGCGATCATGCAAGAGTAGGTACTTCGGTCAAGACCTACATACCTATCCACCGAGGACAGCAGAGGAGGAAATCCGGAGAAAGTGATTTAGAAAAACTCATCTGAACTTTCGATGCAAGAATACACCCATGCCACTCCTTCTTCAGGGAGAAGCGAGACATCAAAGCACTTGACATCCAAGTCAGGGCTCAACCGAATGGGGTGAACTCGCCCGAGGTAGAAAGACTATCATCCAATCAGCAGCCTCTGATAACACTGTTTCCCTCTCCAATCACACACGCCCTGTGCAGCCCAATCTGGCTTGGTGCAACACCGGCAACGGGGATCGGCCTGCAGCTGCCCTTTCTCCACAACCGACTAGTCCCCTTTCGGCTTAGAGCAGAACTACACATCCAATGCAAAGCAAGAGTGGAGACCTCGCCAGGGCTTTGGGAGACTTGGAGTTGATATTAGCCGGGGTCCCATTGGTCTGGTTCTGATCTCGGGCATCACTGCTGCTTGGAAATGATGAAGCTTGCGGCTTAGCAGCATTTCAGGCAATGAATCTCAAAGGCGTATTGGAGGATGGAGTTTATACTTTGCATTTTAATTGATTCTCCTCCGTACCACCCCTAACTTTCTTCACTTCCATTATCTATCTACGCAGGAGTTTGCTTACAGGAACCCTACGCCGGAGTACTGCCCCCCGTCCTGCTCTATTAATATGTGGTACTACAGGATTCTTGGCGCGGTCGAAAGTCGGCACATTAGTAACAGAATCGTCTGCATCGGGGATGGATTCTCGTCTCGAACTGTAAATTGCAAGGAAGGAGTAGCAGCAACCATCAGGCCATGATTCATACATCCGTGACTTAAGCGGAAATTGTGCTTGTGACTTTGATCGGTTGAATCAGTTGTAGCCACCTTGTCCAGTGCCCTCCTGAATACTCAGGTATCACTCGTGATTACCTCATATCAAAAGCAATCAAAACTAATGTCACTATTTACGGAGTACATCCTGCTGTCATCTACTGCGTATTATTATTTATCCTGCGAGGCTGCGACGTCAAACATGATGCATGGTGACAGCCTAGCCAACTTGATATCATTTCTCCAGACTCCTGCACCTCCACTTTAACTTCTGTGTAGAGTACTACCAACTTATTTTGAAAGTTAACGTGATCCGAGTGTTGAAAACTTGAAATAACCCGAATAAAGTTATAGTCAGTGCATATCTCTCTAATTCTTTAGATGTGTACAGAGTAGATTACAGTTCTCCATGACGTCCGGGCTGAAATCCAGATGTATCTTTCCCCACGGGCGTGATCAAGTCCCCCATGGCATGTGAACAACAGACCACGTGACAAAGCGTCTTCCGACTCTGACATGTGAGACCATCTAAATGGTCATCAGCGGTACAGATCAAATCGATATCAAGTCATGCGCGAGTGTCAGCCCTCGATCCGATCATTTGAGTATGCTCGTTGCCAATTCATATTTACTGTTCGCTCAATATGCCTGCCGCAATCAATATACCACCCTACAAAAGTACCTGTAGAACAACAATGGCAACAACAACATAATGACCATCCCCAAACGCCGAAAACTCCATGCTATTCGCACCCAAACCCAACCCAGTCAAAAGGGATTCACTCAGTGAAATTCCTCAGCTTAGTCAGCTCATCCAACAGCTCCTGCAAATCCCCATCGGAGATCTTATGCTGCAGACTCGGAATAAGCGACTTGGCCTCTTCGGCATTATCGCAGCACAAGCTCCCTTTTCGTTATCAGCCACAGCCACTCCACGCAGACACAATGAACGCAAGCAAAGACATACCCAGCTGCGACCGCTCGAACATCTCCAGCTCAGTATGCGAGTTCAGCAACCGCTCCACGGCCTTGATGTTCTCCTCGTCCTTGAACCGCGCAAATACCTCCAGGTAATCCAGCGTCTTGGTGAGATTTCTAATTCCATTCCAAGCCGTTAGCCTCATATTCCTAGAAGGTGATGGACAGTGATGAAACACTGTCCCTGTAGAAAGGCTACGGGCAACGCAACGCACTCCGGTTCCTCGTATTTCTTCCCCCCGCGGCGCTTATTCTCCAGCACCTTGTTGATCACGAGCCGTGCCTCGGACAGCGATAGGGTATGTGTGTTTTGATCAGCGCCGAGTTTGAGGGTTGAGGCTGCTTCGAGTTCGCCCTGGGGGAGGGCGCGCTTGCGGTGTGTGGCTGGGGGCAGTTGGACGCTCATGATGGTTTGCGTAGCTGGACAGGAGTTGAATTCGTAAAGGAAAATGCACTGGTTTACAAACGGTGAAAGTTTGAGACGAGGGATGTCGGAGCTTGACGTTGAGCTCATGCCGGAGCGGGAAAAACTTGGAGGTGGAGGACGCGAGGGCAGTTTGAGGCGGTGACACATTCACCGCCTTCCATGTACGATCTGCTATAGAGACCCCTAGCAAAGGTCCTTGTAGTTGACATGAATGTTGTAGTTGACATGAATGCCATAGGCATTTAGCATGATTGCGTGCGAAGGGCTAATTACTCTGTCAAATTCATAATAGGGTATCAGTTTTGTTTCATATGCTCTACCAGTATATACCAAGCCTTAACGCCTTATGCTATGCGAGGATTGTCTATGAACAAGGTCCCCTAGGCCGTAGAATTATACCTTTTTGAACGCAACCTCCGCAGGCAGACGGAAGCTAGCGCAGAACATCTGCTTCTTAGGACTGACTAATCTCACATTGTGGATCGAGAGCTCAATGCTCTGATTCCCACTGCCGCCGATCCGATCCTCGGGCGTGATAGTGTACCCGATACGTTCGGATATCCGCTGGCAGATGTCAATGTGGTCGTCAAGCTCGTTCTCGGAATGGCCCGAGAAGCAATACACATGGACCATAGGTAGACGCTGGGAAGTGTGCGGAGCGAACAGCGACTCCCTGCCGGCGTAGACGCCAGGGAACGCATCGAGAAACTCAATTGCCGTGGCGGGGAGGTTCATCACGTAGTGGTCGAAGAACACCGGACGGTGATACTCCTCCGGGTGAGGCGGGGGAGCCTGCTCGACTTGATTGCCCGTTTTTTTCTCCCGCCGCACCTTGGGATGAATCGTGACGGTCACCGGCTCCGCCTCCAGGAGCTCCTTGGCAGACCAGCGGATAAATTCCCGGCCATCCTTGTTGAACGGTGTGACGAAGCCCTCCACCTTGTTCCTCCTGATTGCGTCCTGCATCACCTCGTACCCGTGCGGGTTGAGGTCGTTGGCCCAGACAAAGATCTTCTTCTTTCCGGCAGGCACAGCAAACGGCCCCACACCCGCCATCACATCACATACCATCTCGCCCTGGTTGAATTTCTCCACGAGTCGACGATGCTCCGTCTCCAGACGGCTGTTCCAGTAGACGCGGGAATAGTCAAAGCGAAACTCGCAGTCCTGCTCGTGCTGAACAACATTCAAATCATTATCACCAGCCAGAAGCTCAAAGGGGAATGTGCGGAACTCGCTATGCGATCCAACATCCTCGGTTTTGTTGATCACCGTTCTGATCGCCTTATTCTTGTCCTTCAGAATCTCCGCAATGAGATATTTGTACGGGAGGTATTGCTCGCGAAGATTCAAATGCAGCACATGTCCCACTTGAGTAAATCCCTGCGGGATCTCTTGTAGCTCGTCCTCGGGTAGAATCGAGGCGATGATATCGGCGTACGTCCAATAATCATAGTCAAGCGTCAAGTCGTACGGCCGCATTGCGATCCTCCCCCTCTCGACCAGCTCACTTATCTTCGGCGACCATGTTTCTTGATCGTCATGCTTGACAGTTTCGCGCAGCAGTAAAGCCTTCTTCACCTGCCCATCCTGGTCTGTCACGTCCCGGATACAGTTGAGTCGAGGCACGGCCAGGAGGTCCCGGCTCTTGTGTAACTCCGCTCGCACCTTTGAGATATCTGAGTTTTGAAACACCGTAGCAGCGGACAGAGGAACCGTCTTGCGAAAGAACGAGCGGTCCAAGACACGCATCGCGCGGTTCACGGGTGGTCGAAACATTTCCGGGAGGTCGCTGCTGCGGAGCGAAACGGAGGAGTCGGTCATGGAGTCCATGGACGAGAGGACGGGGTGGCACTGATGTATGCTAAGCGGGGTCTGCTGTCTAATTATATGATATGAGGCATCGGTATCTTTTGCGATTGAGGTCTGTTGATGTTAGTGGGGGAGTATTCACTCTTTTTTGCCCAATTTTATCGCCTGGCATCTTATCAGTCACGTGGCTGATATTGATCTATAACCATGTCGCGCCTGTTTACTTCGTAATGACGTCCAGCATATTATATTGATGATGGTTAAAAATGCTCATAGAATCTCAATGATATTCTTGTGTTTAGCAGTGATATATTATATACTTGATATGGAAAGCCATGTTCTGTGCTGATAATAGATGATTTCATGGCACCGGCTCTGATCGCCCAGATATGAATGAGAATAAAATCAAAACATGATGAAAACCGTACTTACATTGCCGGCCAGGGTATCATAAATGCAATTTCCCTATCCCTTCCAACCACTTTATCCGAATTCGAATCTCCGTCACCGTTTCCCCAACCCATCAATGACAGCTCGATCCATTTCCCTCTGAGACTCCAGGCTCGCAATCCTCTCATTCAACCTCATAATCGTCTCGTCCTTCTTCTTCAGTGCAATTCGTGAAATGTCCCGCCCGCGGATAATCCCCTTAGTCTTCAGATCGTGCTTGTTCAGCAGCGCCAACAACTCGTCCTGCGCCTGCTTCGGCACGACCACCTTGTGACTTTCCAGAATCTTCAAAGCCTGAAGGCCTAGCTCAGACGAGTCTTCATGCACATCTGTAGACAGCACATTCCTATACCTGCCCGGCGTAGGCGTCATCGAGACCTCCGCCGAAGCCGGCGGCAATCGGGTCTGCATGCGGGGCGAGAAGATAGACGTAGGCGTAAGCGTGGTCGTAGTCTCATTTCCCTCATTTTCCATCTCCGACAGCTTTCGCTTGCCGGGCGACGTGAAGGTCTCGGTCCGCGGCGCTTTGCGAGGCCTATCCTGTCCGAAATCCGGTTGACGAGGCGGCTCAAGCAACTTGGTCAGCTCCTCAGCGTCCGACAAATCGTGCCAGCTAAACTCATCCGTATCCTCCGTCATCATCCTGGCCTTTCCGCTCTTCGACGGTGTGGGCGTGCGGTTGACGTTCAACCCGCGGACATCCTGGACCTTTGTGTCGGTCTGTGGCGTGAGAAGGCCGCTTCCTCGACCTGGTGGTTTCGTAGGTGTATTGTTGGTCGAGCTCGGCTCAGTGCGCGAGTTCGAAAGCACGGCTAGTTTCTCACGCGCTTCTGCGTCGCTTTGCCAGAGAAAGAAGTTGCAGCGCTTGTGTTGGGGTTTCTGGCACGTGTAGACTGTATCGCTTTAAAAATGATCCTCTATTGCGCTAGTCACTCCCTTGAAAAAGAAGACTTACACCATCTCCCATGGTTGACCCCATGGTTCTTTGTTTGGAGCTTGACGGCTGGTGGGCGTTCGGGACAGTTGCACCTCCACACGCCCTCAAGGAAGAGTCCCCGCAACGGGACGGCGGTGCGAGGAGACAGCCCTCCGATTGCAGGTTTATGAGGAGAAATCATGGACGTAGCAATAGAGTAGTATCTCACATCACATGGCGAGGGCAGATGCAGCATCGAATACCTTTTTATCGTTGGGGTCGTTACGACGCAACGAGTGTCAGCGAACTATTGGCTTGTCGCTATGGAAACAGATAAGCCAAACGTCACAAATAGAATGCGGGGAATCGTTCAAGTAGTGATATTCCACAAAATCACCCGAAGCAGCATGTATACGCTCGGTAGTCTTCTGATGAAATGATATACGTCTTTCTTATCATGAGATGGAAGATTACAGGGGAGCGTATACCAGCAGCAGATGAAGTAGGTCGTGATCTTGCCGGAAAAGGAAAGCAGGAGAGCACCCCGCTGAAGAAAGCAACAGAAGTTCTATGATACTGATTTTTATTCCATCTGAAGTTGTGATCTAAAGAGCAATTATCCAAGACTTCTATGCTCTTATCTAAAGTATGCAAAGTGCAAGCACAGACAAGCAGGCGTACTCGAAAGTGATTATTCGTAGGGGTATCATCGCAATGAGTCGGACTTATTCAGCAAGGACCTGCCTTAACATAGCATTGAAAGGCTCCGAAAGCTTGAGGATTTCCTGGACTTCCGGCTTGACCGGTTCTCCCGCGGTGCGGCGAAGCTGATCCTGTTTCTTGACACGGCGTCTCCGCTCAGCAGTGATAGGATCAAGGTCGTCCTCTTCCATTTCCTCGGACTGTTCGGATTCCGCGTCGGAAATGGCGAGATCTTCAAGGTCGGCCTGGGAATCGGGGTTAGACATGAAGACACAAGACCTTGGCATTACACATACCTCATCCAAGCCAAAATCACTGCCGCGGAACGTCGCATTTCCGGGGAAAGACTCGTTGCCATTGCCTTCAGCCGCCATCTTCTGTCGAGTCTTATTCAAGTGCCACCGTTTGCGATCCTCGTGCCATTTGATCAAAGAATTAATCTCCTCAATGGCCTTGGCCTCATCGATCTGCCCTACATCCTTGGCTCCATGGAACAGAGCATTCATGTCAAGCTTACCCCCTTGAGGTCCGTGGCGCAGGAATTCAAGGATATCTTCAATCCAACCCATGAGGGAGGTAAACAAGCCATTATCGTGAAGGTGAACTTCATGGATGAACTTGTAGAAGTTGTCTTGGTGACGTTCGCACAGGTCGATGAAGGCCTGGACGGTTTGATTAGGGTCCGCCGAAACATCCTGCCGGTGACATTTCTCAATCACAGCGATCGCGTCGTCGGCAAATTGCGCAAAGTCAGTAATGCTACTGTACACATTCGCGGATTTGTAGACGCGCACTAGGGGCTCGTAGAAAATCGTGAAGAGATCGCGGAACAACTGAAGGGTGACAGGCTCCTCGATGATGCTGAGAATCATTGCCTTGTCGCGTTGTCGGGTGTAGAGCTTGAGCAATTGCTTCATGTTCGCGAACCACTGAGCCCCTTCTTGCATCTCGAGATCCACATTGTCCACCGCATTATTCCAGGCCACATAGGCATTGAACACCTTTCCAACCTGTTCAGGAGTAAGCTCAGGTGATATGAGCTCCGACCGAAGAATGGCAACGATCAAATCCACATCTTCAGCCGCAGCCTGTGCCCGAATTTCATTCTTGATATCCTCATCTGCATGCGCGAATTCTTTTAGCTTTCCAGTCAAGACGGAATCGTCAACTTTGGCTGCCAGCGAGTCAATGGACTTTTGGAATTGCTTGATGCCGTCGTTTATAGCCATAGAAAAGATGCGCTGTAGCAGAGACCGCGACCCAAAAGGCTGGGCGAGGAAAAGATCTAGGACACCACTCATCACAGCCGCAGGGTTGGCGATGCGGATGACGTTCTTCATCAAAGAATACGGGACAAGAGAATGTATCCTCTTGAACTGCGCAAACATCTCAGGAGAGTTATCTTCGGCCAGGAATATGTGATAAAGAGTTGCCGCAACCCTAGTAACAGTCAGTCGAGCTGGACAAATTTCTTGAAATCCAGATAATCAAACGCACTCAATTCGAAGCCATTCAGCGAATTTCTGGTACTGAGGGCTAAGGTCCGCTATCGTGTTCTTTTCACGAATCTCGGAGAATAATTTTGTTAGACCATCTGAGTTCAAAAAGTCAGTAAAACCGGCTCTGGGTCCTTGTGACTCGTTCCTTACTGCTCTCCACAATATCCCGACGGAACTGCTCCATGTAGACATCCAACTCCGCCGCACGCTGCCTGGCAATTTCGTAGAATCGCTTCTGCTCTTCAATCCTGATGGCGTCTGCTGCTTTTCTTCTTTCTACATCGATCAATTCCTCTTCATTCAAGGAGACGGGTTTTGCTGTGAGAAACTCCTCCATCGCCTTTGACTCGGAAATTCGCTTGTTCTGCAACAAAGTGCGTAGAAATGCACGGAGAGAGACTCGCTGCTCCTCCCTGTAAAGCACCGTTTCTCTCGGGCTCTCACTTGAGAGTCTAGAAGACTTTGTTGATCTCATGGAAGAGCGGGACAATGAACGACTGTGATGAGGTCCCGGAGCCAGCGTTCGGCCAGTGTACCCCTCGCCAGTATCTTGAGTCGAAACGGAAGAAATAGAGGACGCCTCATCGTCAGCCGAGCCGAAAAAACCAGCACTTGTTGATGACTTGTTTTTTCTCGGGAGAGGAGATAATGTTCTACCAGGGAACTCTGTACGCAGTCTCTTATGAAGCTTTGCGAATTCTCCATATCGCCTGGCCACAAAGATGTCAGGCTTACCTTCCCGCCGCACACGGAGGATGAATTCCTAGTGGAGTGTCAGTCAATGTGATCATCTTCTGTCTGTACTTATCCCTATCACTGACCGCATGTTTATGGTATCGCACTGTCCGCTTGACCGAGGTAACTCGTACCGCGGCGACATTGACATCCCAGCCATGTATCTCATGTCCCTCGGGCATATTCACGAGAAGGCCCTTCTCGTTCGCGCCGCGGTCGACCACCTCCATCTCCGAGAATTGTATCCGCTCTTCATACCCCGACGCTGTAGGGATTCCCGATACCATCATCAGCTCGACGAGCTTTTCAGATTTCCGCGCCAGCTTCCTGCGCTTGGTCTCCTCCAGACGGTCTTCAGAGGACGATACATGCTTTTTAGCGAACGACTCGAGGAACTACACCAGGAACGGAATCAGTCACACTGCGTCTCCGGCTACCACAGACAACCAAAGCAGTGCAATCACATACCACCTGCAGCTTATCCTGCCAAAACTCCTTCTCGCGAGCCTGGTCGAGGAAAGGGAACTTGCGCACATGATGCACAAAGATGTATCGCAGAATCGGCAGTTCAGAATCAACGGGGGCAACTTCGCCAAATTCAGATTTAAATGGAGCGCCGAAGCGGTGGAGGGCGGTCGGGGAGTTCAGCTCGGCGATCTCATTGCGCACTTGACGGGCGATCAGCTCGCGCTTCAGATCTGTACCCGTCAGCTAAAAGT